TTTCTTCGATAGCTCCCTCATTTTTCCAGAATTGCCTACTAGAATCTTTCCATTTTTTTTTTTTATTAAAATATATATATATACATATTTTCAAACCGAATAATTTTTAATCTTGCACAGGAAACATAAACGGGCTATCTTTTGGTTTCACACGACGAAATCTATATTTTAGATTTTTTTGGGAATTTTTTACAATTTGTTCAACCGGAAAATTTTTCGATCTAGAAAATTTCGTCCAATTTTTGACGATTTTCGAAATTTAACCAAAGACATTTTCTGGTATATTTCGACCTCCAGAATTTAGTTTCGGCCTCATTTCTTAGATAACTTATAGCATTTTTCCAGAATCGCCATTGAAATTTTGCAATTTTTTTTATTTAAAAAATATATATCTTCAAACACACTGTTGTTATATATTTTACCTTTTTTTTACATAGTCATCTTTTCACCACAAGAAGCTTAAAACATGTTCAAAATCAAAAATTTGTATAAGGGAATATGGATTTTGCAATTAGGCTCCGCCCCATAATATCGGAAAGAAGTCTACACATATTCAAATACAAAGGAAGAATGTAAGCCCGCCCACCCGCCCTCTCTCAATTGTGATTATTATTTTTTTATTCGCCGAGAACCAAGGGGGCGGAGCTTAACTGCAAAATATTTATTTCTTTACAAGAAATTAAAAACAGATTTTTGAGTATCGTGTTGTGTAAAGATTACTATGTATATTAAGGAAAAGAGGCAAAATATAAACCCCGCCCACCCACCCCATCTCAATTGTAATGATTTTTTTATTCTTAGACACTTAAAACAAAAATATGTTTAAAATGGTAAATTTGTATAGGAAGATATCGATTTTGCAATTTTACGCTCCGCCCCTTGGTCTGACAACGAATGAAAAATTCACCATGAATGAGATGGGTTCTCTTTTGGTTCTCTTTTTTAATTAATACATTTAGTTTTTTTGTACAACACGATCGCTTAAGAACATATTTCACATGGTAATTTCTCGTAGAAAAATAAGGATTTTACAATTAAGCTCCACCCGAATAAAAAACATCATCAGAATTGAGATAGGGTGGGTGGGCGGGGCTTATATTTTGCCTTTTTTTTCTTAATAGCCATCTCTTCATAACAAGAAATTTAGTTAAAACATGGTTAAAATGGTATATTTTTGGAAATTTTTCAAACTATAAAAATTTCGGCAAATTTTCAACAGTTTTCGAAATTTACGAAAGACATTTTGTTATAGATTTCGACCCCCAGAAGTTCGTTTCGGCCTCATTTCTTCGATGACTCATCCCATTTTTCCAAAATCCACACTGAAATATATATTTTTCAGTCTAAAAATTTTGGCCAATTTTTAAATATTTTCAAAATTTAATTAAAGACATTTTTTATATCTTTCGACCTCCAGAAGTTAGATTCGTCCTCATTTCTACAGAATCATCCACTGAAATAGTGTATTTTTTGGATTAAAAAAATATATGTACCTATAGGTATAGGTTAATTTCAGACCAAATATTTTTAATTACATCTTCCACCGGGAGCTTAAACACGTTATGTTTTTGGAATCAGCACGGCGAAATCGACATTTCAGAATTTTTTGGAAATTTTTTAGCAATTTTTCCAAAACCAAAAATTTCGACCAATTTTCGACAATTTTCGAAATTTAACGAAAAACATTTTCTTATAGATCTCGACCTCTAGAAGTTCGTTTCTGCCTCATTTCCTCGATAGTTCCTCTCATTTTTCCAGAATCGCCTACTGGAGTCTTTTTATTTTTTTGAATTAAAAAAAAATATATTTTGAACCCGAATATTTTTTAATCTTACACCGGAAACATAAACGGCTTATTTTTTGGTTTCAGCACGACCAAATCTACTTCAGATTTTTTGGGGAACTTTTTACAATGTGTTCAACCGGAAAATTTTCCGCTTTAGAAAATTTCGGCCAATTGTTGACGATTTTCGAAATTTAACCAAAGACATTTTTTTATAAATTTCGACCTCCAGAACCAAGTTTCGGCCCCATTTAATAAGATAACATAGCATTTTTCCAGAATCGCCCATTGAAATGTTGCCATTTTTTTTTTTATTTAAAATATATATATATATATATTCAAACACACTATTGTTATATATTTTGCAAAAATATATCTACTTATACAAATTTTCCATTTTAAACATGTTTTAAGTTTCTTGTTATGAAGAGAAGTCTACACATATTACAACAAAAAAGCAAAATATAAGCCCGCCCACCCGCCCTATCTCAATTGTGATGATTTTTTTTAATCGCAGAGAACCAAGGGGGTAGAGCTTAACTTCAAAATCTTTATTTATTTACAAAAAAAAAACATGTTTTTGAGTATTGTGTTGTTCAAAGAATGTTATGTAGATTAAGAAAAAAAAAAACAAAATATAAACCCCGCCCACCCACTCCATCTCCATTGTAATGATTTTTTTTTTCTTATAAACTTAAGACACGTTTAAAAATGGTAAATTTTTGTAGAGAAATATGGATTTTTCAATTAGGCTCCTCCTCTCGGTCCGTCAACGAATGAAAACTTCATTACTATTTAGATCAGGGCTATATGGGTGGGGCGTAATCATTGGCTTTAATTTTTTCTTAATATACAGAGTATTCTTTGAATAACACGATGTTTTTAATTTCTCGTAGAGAAATAAGAATTTTGCAGTTAAGCTCCGCCCCCTTGGCTCACGACGAATAAAAAAATCATCAGAATTGAGATAGGGCGGGTGGGCGGGGCTTATATTTTTCCTTTCGTTCTTACTACACATTGCCATCTTTTCACAACAAGAAACTTAAAAGAAACTTATTAGATTAAGAAAATAAGGCAATATATAAACTCCGCCCTCCTACCCCATCGCCATTGTGATGATTTTTTTTTATTTTTAGAAACTTAAAACAGGTTAAAAAATGGGAAATTTTTGTAAAGAAATATGGATTTTTCAATTAGACTCCGCCCCTAGATCGGTCAACGAATGAAAACTTCATTACTATTTAGATCAGGGCTGGTATGGGTGGGGTTTAATATTTGGCTTTAATTTTTTCTTAATATACAGAGTATTCTTTGAATAACACGATGTTTTTAATTTCTCGAAGAGAAATAAGAATTTTGCAGTTAAGCTCCGCCCCCTTGGCTCACAACGAATAAAAAAAAACATCAGAATTGAGATAGGGTGGGTGGGCGGGGTTTATATTTTTCCTTTTTTTTCTTACTACACATTGCCATCTTTTCACAACAAGAAACTTAATAGATTAAGAAAATAAGGCAATATATAAACCCCGCCCACCCACCCCATCTCCATTGTGATGATTTTTTTTTATTCTTAGAAACTTAAAACACGCTTAAAAATGGTAAATTTTGTAGAGAAATATGGATTTTTCAATTAGACTCCGCCCCTAGATCGGTCAACGAATGAAAACTTCATTACTATTATACTATTTAGATCAGGGCTAGTATGAGTGGGGCTTAATCTTTGACTTTAATTTTTTCTTAATATACATAGTATTCTTTGAACAATACGATACTCAAAAACATGTTTTATTATTTCTCGTAGAGAAAAAAGGATTTTACAGTTAAGCTCCGCCTCTCGGCTTACGACGAATAAAAAAAATCATCAGAATTGAGGCAGGGTGGGTGGGCGGGGTTTATATTTTGCCTTTTTCTTCTTAACATACATAGCCATCTTTTCACAACAAGAAACTTAAAATATGGTTAAGATGGTACCTTTTTGCAAGGAATTGTGGATTTTAAACCTGTTTTAAGTTTCTTGTTGTCAAAAGAAGTCTACACATATTAAAACAAAAAGGCAAAATATGAGCCCGCCCACCCACCCCGTCTCAATTGTGATGATTTTCTTTTATTAGTCGAGAACCAAGGGGGCGGAGTTTAACTGCAAAGTATTTATTTCTTTACAAGAAATTAGAAACCAGGTTTTTGAGTATCGTGGGAGCATAAACAGGTTATGTTTTTGGGTTCAGCACATTTTTTTATAAATTTCGACCCCCAGAAGTTAGTTTCGGCCTCTTTTCTTCGATAACTTATCCCATTTTTCCAAAATCCACATTGAAATATTGCAGTTTTAATTATCATTATTATTATACTGATAATACAAATGTCAGATTGACAGATAGCTTTAACGGAAACAACAGTTCTGCCGCGACAGTTTTTTGAAAAATTAATTCCAAGGCTGACTAGACGACTTTTTTGCGATCAGTGGTATTAACAGGTATGTTTGAGTTTAAATCTGTATAGAATATATTTCGTGGAATATTTAAAAGCGGTTGGTTTATAAAGTGGTCAGTTTTATTTTTGTGACACTATTTTCGTAACCCACTCCATATTTGCTCCCTCTCCACCCGAATTCCATTGTAAAACTTTCAAAACAACATTCTTATGGAGTCGAAAAAGTCGAAGAAAAAAATTGTGATGATCCCGGAAGGTCGGATTCGCCTGAATTTATCCGCTTTTCTGAACTCCTCCATCGTTTATAACAGTAAAAACGCATATTTTTTCAGTTTTTCCAACAGTTTCCGCTTTCGCAATTTTAATCGCATAAGTTATGGCGCAAATTACGCCACTTTTACAGTTGCATGTAGTTAGTGCAGCTTTCATTAGTCGTTGCAATTTCCAAAACTGATTTGCATAAATCAGAAAATGTCACACGCCATTGCATAACAAAGGTCAGCGCAAAGTTAACGACCACATTCTATTTAATTCTGTTTCAACTTTGGTGAAACCTCAAATAATACATCTTCTTGCGAAAAGTTCCCAACGGTTTGAAACCAAGCGCCTGACATTCAATTAGTTACAAATCGCACTCTGAAACAAATAACTCACACATTAATCTAACCATCTCCAAATAATAAAATCCAGTTTCGAAATACACCGTCCACCACCCAACCGCGCTCCGTCCAAACCGTATCACACTCTCACTTGTTCGCAGTTTCATTTGTTTTGTTGGCGTTTTTAGGTCCGGAAGTTTGGGGTCTGGAAGTGCCGCTCCGAGCATCGAGCGACCCAAAAAGGAAGCGCCGGACAGGACGCCGGAAGCCCCGGCAATGGCCAGCTCGGATATCGACAGTCTGGAAGAGGCCCGGAAATTGGTCAGGGATCTTCGGCAGAAGACGAGGTCCCAGGCGCAGCAAATTTTGGCCTGGAAACGAGCCTACAAGATGCAGGTGAGCACTTCACCCTCTTTCACCATTATTATCATTATTATTGTGTCGTTGTCTTGCTCCAGGAAATGCTCATCACCCGCCTCCAGCGCGAAAAGTCCAACCAGCTCAAATTCCTCAGCGCCAAACTTCTGCTTTTCCACTCCCGCCTCATCCGTAAGCAAAAGGACATCTCGGCTATGCTGACCCTTCGCGAGAACATCATCCACCGCCAGAAGATCCTCATCGAGAGCCTCAGCAGCCGCCTCACCGACAACGGTCTGGAAGTCCCCCAGTCTGAGCTGACCGAGCTCGATACGACCCTGCACGATTTGGATTCGCTCAACGATTCGGACAGCGCCGTCGTCATGGAAGATATCGATTCGGACAGCAACGTCTTCCAGGTCCCTAAGTTTCGCTCCGCTGGCACAGATGGCATCACCGTCGTTCGGTCAATCTCGGACGCGATCGACCCCAGTCTTAAGTACACTTCGCTGAGACGGAACAACATGTTTTTGCGCCGGCCGGAGATTTTGGAAACCGTGTATAGTGTGGAGGAGGACGTGGACGAAGCCCCGATTGCTGAAAGTAAGAGCGACGCAGATAAAAAACGCGACGCTTTTGCCAGGGGGAAGTCCACGTGTAACGTGGTGGAAGGGGAAGAGGCGAGCCAGAAGGATCGGTCCGTGGAAGAAAAAGTCTGTGAAGTACCGACTTGGCCCTATAGTGGTGACAAAACGAGCGAAGAGAGCGAAGACGAGAAAGCCAAATCGAGCACGAATCATGTAAAAACGTATAATAGGGTTATGTCGAATCATAGGTCCGTAACGAAACCGAAAGACGTTAAATATAAAAGAATCAACAAAGCGAAGTCGAAAAGTCTGGAGGAACTGAGAGGGAGATTGAAAAACTGGGTGGAACAAGGGAGCAAATTAACTGGAATCACTTTGGACCATAGCCAGAGCTATGCTTAATACAGGTCCAAATTTTTATGTTTGGAAGTTACGTTTTGTTTGATCATTCTTTTCATGTTTGCATTCATATTGTTAGTGTTATTGGTCGTGTAATGTCTTTTTCATCAAGACTTGGTGCGGTTTCACACTATTCGTATCTTTTTTAAGACAATATGTACCGAGTGTTGTGGATACTTTTAAAGTTTGTGTAAATAGGAGCAAGGAACGAAAACTGTGAAAACGTATCAACTAACTCTATTGAAACAAAAATATGTGATATTGTTTTTTGGTGTATATAATATTTTAGTAGGTAGAAATCTTAGTCAATTGTAGCGGTTAAGTAAGTCTAACTTTGTATAAAGTCATAAAGTTTCTTACATATCACCTATTAAGAGGGTCGTCGAAATAACCATGTTACCGAAATGACACCCGACTAGTAAGTATTTGTGGGGGAAAAATTCACTTGCCTAATTGTATAAAATGCTTTTTATTAAGAATAAGATTACGATAATTTTGTACATATAACTATTTTTTATTAAAACGTTGTTCCTTGTAGACATTTTAAGATCTCTTTCGATACAGTTGCTTTGAGTAGTCGCTCGCTAGTTGCAAAAATGTGAGATTTGGTTGATTAGAAACGAGACTGTGCGGTTGTGCTGTTTTAATATTTATTGTCGGTTACGTAAAATTGTGTATTGTAACCTTTAAACATAACAGTTAATGTATTGTTTACAGTGTAAGATGTAACGTCTGTGTAACAATAAAAGACAATCAGAGTAACATTAATTTTTTTTTACTAAGTCACAGTATATCGCGGTCACAGTAAATGCTTAGTACCACATGTCAGACGCTAGATGTCGTACTAACAGGACGTTTTTAAACGTCACAATTACGTTTCTCGACGAATTGAAAAAACTTTCAGTGAATTATTCAATTAATTTAAAACAGCGTTTAGTTTAAAAATTGAAAATTCAAGTGATTAATAAATAAAACTAGTGACAACTAGTGAATAGTGAAAAATAAAATCCCTGCAAACGTCAACCGCACTGTGTCAACTGTCAAATGTCATCTCCCTTCTTGTCATATGTTCGCCCGTTGTATGCGCTTCAGTTAATTTTTCCCGTTTTTATTTAAGAAAAAATCAAACAAAAGCAACCTCCAATAAGTCATAAATCACAAACTCGGTAAAAATTTCATGTATAGGACTATGTTATTTAATACAATCTAAAACCCATTTACTATATGCAATTTTGAAGTGATGTCATCCCATTATTGGTGGGGATGATTAGGCAAATTTTGGTCAGCGTTTTACCATCTACATGATATTCCTAATATAAATACAAAATTTCACAACAATCGGTACAGTACTTAATTTTTGTGTGTTTTTTTAATATACAGAGTTTTCTTTCAACAACAAAATAATTAAACATGTTGTCAGTTTCTTGTTGGGAAAAGAAGACTTCGTTATTAAGATCAAATGGACAAAATATAAGCCCCGCCCACCCACCCCGTCTTAATTGTGATGAATGTTTTATTCATCGTAAGTTAAAGGGCGAAGTTTAGTTTGCAACATCCTCATTTCTCTATGAGAAATTGCCATATGAAATATGTTTTTAAAAGGGTACAATTTTTCAGAGAAATATTGATGTAAAAATATATTTCATACGATAATTTCTTGTCGTGAAATGAGGATTTTGCAGTTAAACTTCGCCCTTCGGTCTGATTAGGAATGAAAAACTCGTCACAATTGAGATGGGGCGGGTGGGTGGGGCTTAATTTTTATTGTTTTTTTTTTAATATAGAGTTTTTTTTCTACAACAAGATAGTTAAACATGTTGTCAGTTTCTTGTTGGGAAAAGAAAACTTCGCATATTAAGAAAAAATTGACAAAATATAAGCCCCGCCCACCCTCCCCTTCTCAATTGTGATAAATATTATATTCATCGTGAACTGAAGGGCGGAGTTTAGTTGCAAAATCCTCTTTTCTCTACAAGAAATTATCATATGAAATATGTGTTTAAAAGGGCAGATTTTTTTAGAGAAATATTGATGTAAAAACATACTTCATACGATAATTTCTTGTCGAGAAATGAGGATTTTGCAGTTAAACTCCCCCCTTCGGTCTGATTAGGAATGAAAAACTCGTCACAATTGAGATGGGGCGAGCGGGTGGGGCTTAATTTTTATTGTTTTTTTTTTTTTAATATAGAGTTTTTTTTTCTACAACAAGATAGTTAAACATGTTGTCAGTTTCTTGTTGGGAAAAGAAAACTTCGTAAATTAAGATCAAATGGACAAAATATAAGCCCCGCCCACCCACCCCGTCTCAATTGTGATGAATGTTTTATTCATCGTGAGCTAAAGGGCGAAGTTTAGTTTGCAACATCCTCATTGCTCTATGAGAAATTGCCATATGAAATATGTTTTTAAAAGGGTACAATTTTTCAGAGAAATATTGATGTAAAAATATATTTCATACGATAATTTATTGTAGAGAAATGAGGATTTTGCAGTTAAACTCCGCCCTTCGGTCTGATTAGGAATGAAAAACTCGTCACAATTGAGATGGGGCGGGTGGGTGGGGCTTAATTTTTATTGTTTTTTTTTTTTAATATATAGAGTTTTCTTTCAACAACAAAATAATTAAACATGTTGTCAGTTTCTTGCTGGGAAAAGAAGACTTCGTATATTAAGATCAAATGGACAAAATATAAGCCCCGCCCACCCACCCCGTCTCAATTGTGATGAATGTTTTATTCATCGTGAGCTGAAGGGCGGAGTTTAGTTACAAAATCGTCATTTCTATACAAAAAATTACCATATGAAATATGTTTTTAGAAGGGTAGAATTTTTTTGAGAAACATTGATGTTAGAATTAAAACTCTGCCCTTGAAAAAGTCGTCACAATTGAGACAGGGGTGGGTGGGTGGGGCTTAATTTTTTTTTTAATATACCTATAGAGTTTTGTTTCAACAACAGGATAGTTAAACATATTTTCAGTTTCTTGTTGGGAAAAGAAGACTTCGGATATTAGGAAAAGAGGGATTGATGTAAAAATATATTTCAAACGATAATTTCTTGTAGAGAAATGAGGATTTTGCAGTTAAACTCCGCCCTTCGGTCTGATTAGGAATGAAAAACTCGTCACAATTGAGATGGGGCGGGTGGGTGGGGCTTAATTTTTGTTTTTTTTTAAATATATAGAGTTTTTTTTTCAACAGCAAGATAGTTAAACATGTTGTCAGTTTCTTGTTGGGAAAAGAAGACTTCGTATATTAAGATATAATGGACAAATTATAAGCCCCGCCCACCCACCCCGTCTCAATTGTGATGAACGTTTTATTTATCGTGAGCTAAAGGGCGAAGTTTAGTTTGCAACATCCTCATTTCTTTACGAGAAATTGCCATATGAAATATGTTTTTAAAAGGGTACAATTTTTCAGAGAAATATTGATCTAAAAATATATTTCATACGATAATTTTTTGTAGAGAAATGAGGATTTTGCAGTTAAACTCCGCCCTTCGGTCTGATTAGGAATGAAAAACTCGTCACAATTGAGATGGGGCGGGTGGGTGGGGCTTAATTTTTATTGTTTTTTTTTTAATATATAGAGTTTTCTTTCAACAACAAAATAATTAAACATGTTGTCAGTTTCTTGCTGGGAAAAGAAGACTTCGTATATTAAGATCAAATGGACAAAATATAAGCCCCGCCCACCCACCCCGTCTCAATTGTGATGAATGTTTTATTCATCGTGAGCTGAAGGGCGGAGTTTAGTTACAAAATCGTCATTTCTATACAAAAAATTACCATATGAAATATGTTTTTAGAAGGGTAGAATTTTTTTGAGAAACATTGATGTTAGAATTAAAACTCTGCCCTTGAAAAAGTCGTCACAATTGAGACAGGGGTGGGTGGGTGGGGCTTAATTTTTTTTTTAATATACCTATAGAGTTTTGTTTCAACAACAGGATAGTTAAACATATTTTCAGTTTCTTGTTGGGAAAAGAAGACTTCGGATATTAGGAAAAGAGGGATTGATGTAAAAATATATTTCAAACGATAATTTCTTGTAGAGAAATGAGGATTTTGCAGTTAAACTCCGCCCTTCGGTCTGATTATGAATGAAAAACTCGTCACAATTGAGATGGGGCGGGTGGGTGGGGCTTAATTTTTGTTTTTTTTTAAATATATAGAGTTTTTTTTTCAACAGCAAGATAGTTAAACATGTTGTCAGTTTCTTGTTGGGAAAAGAAGACTTCGTATATTAAGATCAAATGGACAAAATATAAGCCCCGCCCACCCACCCCGTCTCAATTGTGATGAATGTTTTATTCATCATGAGCTAAAGGGCGAAGTTTAGTTTGCAACATCCTCATTTCTCTACGAGAAATTGCCATATGAAATATGTTTTTAAAAGGGTACAATTTTTCAGAGAAATATTGATGTAAAAATATATTTCATACGATAATTTCTTGTAGAGAAATGAGGATTTTGCAGTTAAACTCCGCCCTTCGGTCTGATTAGGAATGAAAAACTCGTCACAATTGAGATGGGGCGGGTGGGTGGGGCTTAATTTTTATTGTTTTTTTTTTTAATATAGAGTTTTTTTTCTACAACAAGATAGGTAAACATGTTGTCAGTTTCTTGTTGGGAAAAGAAAACTTCGCATATTAAGAAAAAATTGACAAAATATAAGCCCCGCCCACCCACCCCGTCTCAATTGTGATGAATGTTTTATTCATCGTAAGCTAAAGGGCGAAGTTTAGTTTGCAACATCCTCATTTCTCTATGAGAAATTGCCACATGAAATATGTTTTTAATAGGGTATAATTTTTCAGAGAAATATTGATGTAAAAATATATTTCATACGATAATTTCTTGTAGAGAAATGAGGATTTTGCAGTTAAACTCCGCCCTTCGGTCTCATTAGGAATGAAAAACTCGTCACAATTGAGATGGGGCGGGTGGGTGGGGCTTAATTTTTGTTTTTTTTTAATATAGAGTTTTTTTTCAACAACAAGATAGTTAAACATGTTGTAAGTTTCTTGTTGGGAAAAGAAAACTTCGCATTTTAAGAAAAAATGGACAAAATATAAGCCCCGCCAATTGCCATATGAGATATGTTTTTAAAAGGGTAGAATTTTTTAGAGAAATATTGATGTAAAAACATTCTTCATACGATAATTTCTTGTAGAGAAATGAGGATTTTGCAGTTAAACTCTGCCCTTCGGTCTGATTAATAATGAAAAATTCATCACAATTGAGATGGGGCGGGTGGGTGGGGCTTACTTTTTTTTGACATATATAGTTTTCTTTCAACAACGGGACACAACATGATAATTAAACATATTGTCAATTTCTTGTTGGGAAAAAAGACTTCATATATTAAAATAAAATGGACAAAATATTATTAAGAATAAGATTACGATAATTCTGTACATATAACTATTTTTTATTAAAACGTTGTTCCTTGTAGACATTTTAAGATCTCTTTCGATACAGTTGCTTTGAGTAGTCGCTCGCTAGTTGCAAAAATGTAAGATTTGGTTGATTAGAAACGAGACTGCGGTTGTGCTGTTTTAATATTTATTGTCGGTTACGTAATGTGTTTCATTACGTAGTTAATGTATTGTTTACAGTGTAAGATGTAACGTCTGTGTAACAATAAAAGACAATCATCAAAGTAACATTGAATTTTTTAACTAAGTCACAGTATATCACGGTCACAGTCACGGTGGTATAAGTAAGGTGTTTCAACTCCATTCATAAATTTTCATAAAACGGGCGCTTAAAAACTGGTATCGTAGTAGGTTGTGGGAGCTTAAGATGACCGCCACCATGTGGTAGTTACTTGTACTATTTGCGCTATCGACTGACGTTTGACATGACATTTGACGTATATTTCCCCTCATCTTTCAAAAAGATGTCACAAAACCTAACCTATAAAGCTGACATTTATGACAACTTGCATTCAAGGACATATTTACGCAAATTTCATTCATTATTGTGGACAGTTTCATCATAGTATCCAGTAGACGGCGCTAGGAACTTTAAGCTCCCGTGGCCTTCTGGGATCTCTTCGAAAAAAGACCATTTTAAACTCGGAGTTCGCAGACCTGTTATATATGGCCGTGGTCACAGTAGATGCTTAGTACCACATGTCAGACGCTAGATGCCGCACTAACAGGACGTTTTTAAACGTCACAATTACATTTCTCGACGAATTGAAAAAACTTTCAGTTAATGATTTCATTAATTTAAAACAGCGTTTAGTTTAAGAATTGATAATTTAAATGATTAATAAATAAAACTAGTGAAAACTAGTGAATAGTGCTAAAAATGAAATCCCTGCAAACGTCAACCGCGCTGTGTCAACTGTCAAATGTCATCCCCTTTCTTGTCATATGTTCGCCCGTTGTATGCGCTTCAGTTAATTTTTTCCGTTTTTATTTAAGAAAAATCAAACAAAAACAACCTCCAATAAGTCATAAATCGCAAACTCGGTAAAAATTTCAAAGCAGCAGCTGCAATATTTCTAAATCAGGGACACTTAAGGCAGGTAGGCGAGTCCAGACGTTTCCCGATTGGTTTCCTCGTGTCGGAGACATTTCGTTTTAAAAATAACGGTGACTTTAATTCGCGCTTTAGTTTTACTTAAATACCTCAGGTTAAAATAACATTGGTTATAAAAACATCCGCCCATTTTCCAGTGCAATGGGTTCTCACCAGGACCTCGCCCATGAAGAACGAATGAAGCGATTTTTGTACACTTGTAACTACCATGGGGCTTACATCACAGGCAACTCTGAGAGACACATTTGCAAATTTACAAGTTCCTTACTTTTCAACTGGGTGGAGACAGCACCGGATGATTTTTTTAAGATATTATTGGCAGCCAGTGAAGATCCGTTGCTAATAAATCGAATAAGTTTGTTCTACATTGCTGCGGAAGCCCTACTCAGTCCTACTCTACCCATAGAAATCAAACTAGATGTCAAAAAAGTAGTGTTCAAACTTATGAAATCAGATGGGGAATTTTTTGATTTCATTAAGTATTACACGCTCCTAGGCCCCAAAAAGAAACAGAAAATCACCACCAGTGTAAGAAAGATGATTGTGAAGTTTTATCAAGATAAAACGCCACAGGAGTTCTTGGACTGTGTTACAAAGCAAGAAAGTTATCATGGGTGGAGCCACAAAGACCTGATAAAGTTGTGCCACTACAAAACTAACAATGTTTGTAAGTTTGTTTGTGTTCTACTACCATGTAGTATAAAAATTGGGATTTTCAGTGTGTGAGCCAGTTTTGAAGTATGTAATGTTCGGAGCTAAACACGTTCCGGAAAGTGGGGATGCTGAAATGACACCAATTATCGAACACTTGAAAAAGATTCACGAGCTACGAACAACTGAAGACGTCCCACGAGCTGTCGCTCTTGTCAAAGAGCTGCATGCCAACGTAGACCAAATTAACTCAAAGTTGAATAAAAATGAAGAAGTAGGTAGTTTTGAGGTGGTTTGTAAAGTCTCATTTGTTGCTAAATAGGTTTGGATGGCTGCTATCCCTGAAATGAGCACCCGGGAAGTTTTACAGTGCCTGTACAGGTTTTACAAGTTTGGGTTTTTGAAAGCTGGGAGCCAGTTTCAGAGTAAAGTAATCGAAGCACTGACTAACTCTGAGAACATCAAAAAGTGTAACTTACACCCAGTGGAAGTTTATATTTATTTGAAGTTTTTTGAAAAGGGTGGAAAGTGAGTTAAAATGTCACTGTTGAGTAGTTGAGTAGATTTATGTTTTTAGAACTATGGACCCTAAACTCATTGAGTATTTACAGAAGAAAGATATCAGAGAAGAAACTCTCAAAAAACTCACCACACCTTCAGAGCCAAAATGTAAACCAGTCATCCAAAACATCAACAAATGTTTGAAGTTGTCGTACGACAATGTCAAACCCATGGGCAAAAAGTTCATGGTAACAGTAGATGTTACAGAGAAGGCAGAAGAAATGTGTTTCCACAACAAGAGGATCAGTTTTCTTGAAGCGGCCGTAACTGTTATAAGATTTTTAACCAAAGTGGAGAAAAATGTGACCGTGGCGGTGTTCAAAGACAGCCAAATCAACTTTGTGGACGTCAGCAAATGTAAGTGACAGTTTTTGTGACACGTGATCGTGAAATTAAATTTCAGCGCACTCCGCCATCGAGAAACTACAAGAACACAAAGCCACTTACATCCTCCCCACAGCCCCCATAGACTGGGCCCGAAATAAAAAGAAGCAAATCGACGTTTTCATCAACTTCATGGGCTGCAATTGGTTGACAGATGTACCCACAGAAGTGAAAGAGAAAATGGATAAATTGCCAGAGGCGTTGAGCAAATACACCAAAAAACTAAAGTCACCAGACACCAGGTAAGTTAAAGGGGTGAAATAAAAAATAAAATTAACTTTTTGATATTCAAAAACCACCATTTGCAATTTTGTTGACTTAAAAGTCACTAAACCTTACCGCCACAAAATGCCTAGGTAGCTTTGGCCAAAATTTCGTTACTTGGTGGATTTACGTTGGCAACACACGCGATTTGTATTACTACACTTTGGTGAAAATTAATTTCTTGAAATACGCTAATCTTGTTTTTTTATTATTATTATTTTGTGTTTTAAATGCGTCATCAATTTGTGTTGGCTTGTTATAAACCAGATTAACATGTTTAATTTGAAATTAACACCGGGACTACTTTTTGGTGCGGACGGTTTAGTAACTTTTTTCAAAATCTGTCACGTTTCGACTTGACATTACAAAAATTGTTCAAGGGTGGTGAAGTTCTTCCTGGGCGGCCCGAGTGCTTCGTACGCCGAGAACAGCAAAAACATCCTCGCGATCGCAGGTTTCACCGCCGATGTTCCTAGACTTTTAGAGGCCTTTTGTAGAGGGCAGTTCTGCTAGGAAATTTCGATACTTCCCTCCTACAAAGTGTTCAATCAAATCTCAATATTTTGTTATCGAATTTTACAATATTCTGTGTTAATTTTTCTCGAACCGAACGAATCGACGACTTCGCGCTGATGCAGTTTCACTAGGTTAATGTAGATAGGCGTGTTAGTGGGATAATTATTTTTTATAAGATTATTTGTTAGGTTTCATTTTTATTGCATAGGAACATAATCAGGGCTTTTTTTAGTTCGACACGTTATAAGCTGTGTCCGTCTGTTGTAGTTATTAAACATATATTCGCCATCGAAATTCACGAAATTTTAGTTACCATTGTACTGGTTGTTCGAAAACCAAAAGGAGTTCAGTATTTATTTTTGTACGGATTTTTTCGAGGTTTTGTTAGTTGTAGGACTCACAATGTGTTGCTTATGTTAACGATATTATAGTTACTAGGTAATATTAACCGGTAACGGGGCTCCCGAGCGTGTCCGTGTCAAATTATACCTGGGTGCCTTCGACGCGGACAGGGAGACCGTTTAAGGATAGTCTGATTAAGCGGAATAACAATGAATTGAGGTTAAGTTTATTTAATGATTATCCGTTGTTTTCTGATTACCAATTCTGCGATCAATCTTGGTGATAATTTTTATAAATTGTCTGTGAATGCATTTGTAATATCCGAACGTTATCATGTTACATATTAGAATTATCATTGGTTTGACTCTTATTTATTTTTGATACATGTCTGTGACTTACATGATAAAAACATTAATAAAGACTTACAAAATTATCACTTGTGTGTGTCGTGGAAAATCGTAAAACTTCGTCGTTCTATTACATTTATTTATTTACAAATTAAATACATTGATTACAACAATTACAGTTCAGTTTCTATAAGAAACAAAACAGGGGGGCTGCGAAGGATTAAGTTGTTTAACAACTGAAAGGAATTATAAAAATATTAACTATGAAGTAGCAAGATTTAAGGTCGATTTATAAACTTGCCGTTGACGTTGCGATTTCAACCAATCAAATTGCTTTAGTGTGCAGTGCTGCCAACATGAAGGAAAATCCCCCGAATAGGAGACGTTTTTCTCGTTGACGACACCAGTTCCACGAAAATTAAATTTTGATAGAGATAATTAATATTAAGTCTGTTCACCGAAGTCCTCATATTTTAAATAGCTGCCATCGACGTTTAAATCAACAAAATTTATTGCTATTCATCAAAAAAAAAAGATTGGGTATTATAACTAAGCTCCGCCCCCTTGGCTCAGGACGAATAAAAAAATCATCAGAATTGAGATAGGGCGGGTGGGTGGGGCTTATATTTTTCCTTTTTTTACTACACATTGCCATCTTTTCACAACAAGAAACTTAAAATATGGTTATCATGGTACATTTTTGCAAGGAAATATGGATTTTGCAATTATGGGGCGGAGCTTAATTGCAAAATCGATATTTCCTTATACAAATTTTCCATTTTAAACATGTTTTAAGTTTCTTGTTGTGACAAGAAGTCTACACATATTAAAACAAAAAGGCAAAATGTAAGCCCGCCCACCCGCCCTGTCTCAATTGTGATGATTTTTTTATTCGCCGAGAACCAAGGGGGCGGAGCTTAACTGCAAAATATTTATTTCTTTACTAGAGATTAAAAACATGTTTTTGATTATCGTATTGCTCAAAGAATACTATGGATATTAAGAAAAAAAGTAAAATATCTACCCGCCCACCCACCCCATGTCAATTGTGACGACCTTTTTAATTCTTAGAAACCGAAAACACGTTTAAAATGGTAAATTCTTGTAGAGAAATATGGCTTTTGGCAATTAAGCCCCGCCCCTCGATCTGACAACGAATGAAAAATGCATCATAATTGAGAATTGAGATCGGGGCGGGTATGAATGGGGCCTAATTTTTGGCTTTATTTTTTTCTTAACATACACGGTATTTTTTGAATAACACGATACTCAAAAATTTGTTTTTAATTTCTCGTAGAGAAATAAGGATTTTGCAGTTAAACTCCGCCCCTCGGCTTACGACGAATAAAAAAAAATCATCAGAATTGAGACAGGGTGGGTGGGCGGGGCTTATATTTTTCCTTTTTTTTCTTAAAATAGATAGCCATCTTTTCACAACCAGAAACTTAACGCATGGTTATCATGGTACATTTTTGCAAGGAAATATGGATTTTGCAATTATGGGGCGGAGCTTAATTGCAAAATCTATATTTCCTTATACAAATATTCCATTTTAAACATGTTTTAAGTTTCTTGTTGTGACAAGAAGTCTACACATATTAAAACAAAAAGGCAAAATGAAAGCCCGCCCACCCGCCCTATCTCAATTGTGATGATTTTTTTACTTGCCCAGAACCAAGGAGGGGGAGCTTAACTGCAAATTATTTATTTCTTTACAAGAAATTCAAAACATGTTTTTGAGTATTGTGTTGTTCTCAGAATATTATGTAGATTTATAGCCCCTAGAAATACATAGTACAGTCATTCATTGTTGTACGAGTGGAGCAAATGCAGTTGGCAACGCAAAAAATTCCCCTGGTTTGGAACCAAATTGTGTCAGCAGAGAGTTGACAGCGCGTAAATCGTTGTCACGTTGCCTTGGCGTGGTCTTTTTGTTTAAAGTCAATTAATTGTCAATTAATATAACTAATAATTATTAAATAAGATTTTATTGATTAAATTTTATATTTTATTCAAATTAAAACTCCATATTTTGTTTATAAACTACAAACTTTAAATCCAACATAAAACCATTTTAAATTTCGCGGTCTGTCAAATGGTGTTTATAATTTTTGTTTTTGTTAAATTTCCGCCAGGTTTGCTCCACGGTGACGATACTATGTGTTTTCTAGGGGGTATAATGTAGATTAAGAAAAAAAGACAAAATATAAACCCCGCCCACCCACCCCATTTCAATCGTGATTATTTTTTTTATTCTCAGAAACTTAAAACAAGTTTAAAAATGGTAAATTTTTGTAAAGAGACATGAATTATTCAATTAGGCTCCGCCCCTAGATTGGTCAACGAATGACAACTTCATTACTATTTAGATCAGGGCTAGCATGGGTGGGGCTTAATCTTTGGCTTTAATTTTTTCTTAATATACATCGTATTCTTTGAACAATACGATACTCAAAAATATGTTTTTAATTTCTCGTAGAGAAATAAGGATTTTGCAGTTAAGCTCCGCCCCCTCGGCTCACGACGAATTAAAAAAATCATCAGAAATAAGATAGGGTGGGTGGGTGGGGCTTATATTTTGCCACTTTTTTCTTAATATCCATAGCCATCTCTTCACAACAAGAAACTTAAAACACAGTTAAAATGGTACATTTTTGCAAGGAAATTTTATATTTTCTTATAAAAATTTTCCATTTTAAACATCTTTTAAGTTTCTTATTGTAAAAAAGTCTACACGTATTAAAACAAAAAGACAAACTGTCAGCCCGCCCACCCGCCCCATCTCCATTGTGATGATTTTTTTTTTATTTGCCGAGAACCAAGAGGGTGGATCTTAACTGCAAAATATTTATTTCTTTACAAGAAATTAAAAACATGTTTTTGAGTATTGTGTTGTTCAAAGAATATTATGTATATTAAGAAAAAAGGGCAAAATATAAACCCCGCCCACCCACCACATCTCAATCGTGATTTTTTTAATCTTAGAAACTTTAAACACGTTTAAAAATGGCAACTTTTTGTAAAGAGACATGGATTTTTCAATTAGGCTCCGCCCCTAGATCGGTCAACGAATGAAAACTTCATTACTATTTAGATCAGGGCTGCATGGGTGGGGCGTAATCATTGGCTTTAATTTTTTCTTAATATACATAGTATTCTTTGAACAACTAGATGCTTTTAATTTCTCGTACAGAAATAAGGATTTTGCAGTTAAGCTCCGCCCCTTTTGGCTCCCGATGAATAAAAAAAATCATCAGAATTGAGATAGGGTGGGTGGGCGGGGCTTATATTTTTCTTTTTTTTCTTAATACACATGGCCATATTTTCACAACAAGAAACTTAAGACATGGTTAAAATGGTACATTTTTGCAAGGAAATTTTATATTTTCTTATACAAATTTTTCATTTAAACATCTTTTAAGTTTCTTATTGTAAAAAAAAAGTCTACACATATTAAAACAAAAAGGCAAAATGTAAGCCCGCCCACCCGCCCCATCTCCATTGTGATGATTTTTTTTTATTTGTCGAGAACCAAGAGGGCGGAGCTTAACTGTGAAATATGTATTTCTTCGCAAGAAATTAAAAACATATTTTTGAGTATTGTGTTGTTCAAAGAGTATTATGTATATTAAGAAAAATGGACAAAATATAAACCCCGCCCACCCACCACATCTCAATCGTGATTTTTTAATCTTAGAAACTTAAAACACGTTTAAAAATGGCAACTTTTTGTAAAGAGACATGAATTTTTCAATTAGGCTCCGCCCCTAGATCGGTCAACGAATGAAAACTTCATTACTACTTAGATCAGGGCTGCATGGGTGGGGCTTAATCTTTGGCTTTAATTTTTTCTTAATGTACATAGTATTCTTTGAACAATACGATACTTAAAATCATAATTTCTCGTATAGAAAGAAGGATTTTGCAGTTAAGCTCCGCCCCCCGGCTCACGACGAATAAAAAAAATCATCAGAAATAAGATAGGGTGGGTGGGTGGGGCTTATATTTTGCCACTTTTTTCTAAATATACATAGCTATCTTTTCACAACAAGAAACTTAAAACATAGTTAGAATGGTACATTTTTACAAGGAAATTTTATATTTTCTTATATGTACAAATTTTCCATTTTAAACATCTTTTAAGTTTCTTATTGTAAAAAAAGTCTACACATATTAAAACAAAACGGCAAAATGTCAGCCCGCCCACCCGCCCCATCTCCATTGTGATGACTTTTTTTTTTATTCGCCGAGAACCAAGAGGGTGGAGCTTAACTGCAAAATATTTATTTCTTTACAAGAAATTAAAAACATGGTTTTGAATATCGTGTTGTGCAAAGAATATTATGTATATTAAGAAAAAAAAAAAAAAACAAAATATAAACCCCGCCCACCCAGCCCATTTCAATCGTGATTATTTTTTTTATTCTTAGAAGCTTAAAACATGTTTCAAATGATAAATTCTTGTAGACAAATATGGATCTTGCAATGAAGCTCCGCCCCTCGATCTGACAACGAATGAAAAATTCATCACAATTGAGAATTAGGATCGGGGCGGGTATGGGTTTAACTTTAAAAACATGTTTTTAATTTTTCGTAGAGAAATAAGATTTTGCAGTTAACCTCCGCCCTCTTGGCTCACGATGAATAAAAAAATCATCAGAATTGAGACAGGGTGGGTGGGCGGGGCAACATTTTCTTTTTTATTTCTTAACAGGTGTAGACTTATTTCCACAATTAGAATTTGTCAACGTCAACAGCAAGTTCATAAATCCCAATTTCTTTCGGTAAAATAATACGCAATACTGTGATCATACGTAATCACCTAGTGAATATACACCTATGGTATGTGAATACTGCCGGTTATTTCAGTGTTATGTTTCAAATGCAGGTATCGAAGCGCTGATAGGAATTGTGGAATTTATGATAACAGTCTCAAGGTTGTGACTCATGAATTCAAATTATACTACTTAAATTTCGGACACTGAATAAATAAATACACACATTTCATCTATAGTATTACCCTGTATAGTATAGTCATCCCAACCCCTACACCCAATTTTCGTGAGTACGGTCCACCACCTCCTTGACTGTCAGAATCTGACTCGTCACGTACACGATATTCACATCCCTGCTCTCCCTTACCTGCACCACCCCCCTCTCCTTATATTTCTTTTTTCCTTTTATATACCCCTGCTTCGCCTTATTCTTCGGACAATGGATGCAACAGGTGTGCTCCCGCTCCCCCTCCTTCACCCTGCGCCCGACTTGCCGGCTCCCCCCTCTATTCCGACTTTTGGGCATCCCTGCCATGATGCACTGCTGTAGAAGCAGTCGTTCCGACTCGGTTAATTCCGCCGATTCACGTGACCCCGACGGTCTCCCCGTCGACACGTTCCTGTTTTTGGGCATTCCAGATATGATACAGTGCCGGAGTAAGGCTTGTTCGGCCTCGGTGAGCTCCGAGGAGTCCTCTTCGGGCTGGCGCTTGGGGACAGCTCTGCACTTTTTCATCCCCTCGAGGATGCACTGTTGCAAGAGGGCTTTTTCGGCGGGGGTGAGCTCGCTGGAGTCCTCCTGGGACGGACGGGTGCGTTTGGGCATGCCGGCCCTGATGCACTGTTGGAGGGCTTGTTCGGCCTCGAAGGAGTCGTCGCTGAGGGAGGAGGTGGAGTCGGAGTCGTCCGGGGGCGGCTCCGGGGGACGGATTAAAACTTGATTTTTCTGGGTGATGGCGGCAATGCCGTACTTGACACATTCTTCCAACAACTTTTCGTCGTCTTCTTCGTCGGAGAAGTTGCCATTTTCGTTACTTTGGGTCGAGAGTACGCTGAGGTTTGAGCAAGAACCGGCGTGACTTAAAATGGCTGGAGTTCCTTCGGTGCAGTAGTTTTTTACAGTGTCGTTGCTAATGGGGGGGGAAAGGGTTTTGGAAGAATTTTGATTCAACGAAAAAGTGGCTGCAGAATTTGTTAAGGGGTGTTTCGGTACTCCATTGATAGCGATAGTTGGATTGGGTGGAGTTTTGAATTCGCTAGACACCGGAGTCGATTTTGGCTTGCACTGGATGTACCTATATATAAAAAAAATAAGTAAACAATTTTCGAAAAAATGTCAAAATTAACCTGTTGCTTTCAATCCCCATTTTAATACAGTCTTCTAAAATAACCACGTCGTCTTCATCCGAAGACGCGATTTCCCCCACATCAGGGCCAACTTTATCAAGATCAGGCACCTGCTGACTTTCTTCAGTAACCAAAGTCACCGACTTACACGGACTGTTGCTCTTCGGCATTCCCGCTAACATACACTCTTCAAGTAGAGCTTCCTCAGACTCGTGAGAATCGTCGCTTAAACTCGAAAACGAGGACCGCCGGGAAGTATTACTACAATTTTCGACGTCCACAAAATCTAGGTCCTCTTTCTCGCAAAGTTCTTCGTGTCCGGTTTCCCTAGCCGCAGTCCTATCAAATTCCAAATAAAAATTTTGAAATTCATCCAAGAACGCAGTAGCTACTTACGTGGAATCCAAGAGGTCGTGCTTATCGTTTTCGAGCGAATCTTTGAATGAGATCGGTTTCTCGTTTAGGTGTGAGAGAACGCTGAGATCGGAGTTGGAACCGGCGTGACTCAGGAGGGCGGGGGTTCCCTCGGTGCAGTAAGTTCGTAAGGAGTCGCTTGTGACGTCGGTTTTTTGGAGTAAGTCTTCTGGGGGTTTTACAGGGAAGACGTAGGGGGAGTTTTTGACGGGAAGTTCCGGTTTGGAAAGATCGACGATTTCGGGGAGGGTGGCGAATTTGTAAGTGGGTGGGACGGTGGTTGGTGAGGGGGTGTCGGGTTTGGGTTGGCTGTATCTGTAACCAAGATAAAAACGGCAATTGAAAGAGTTTCCCTTGACAACATCCTAGAAGTTAGTTTTTTTGAAACACTGTCGATATTTCTTGGAGGAACTGAACACCTACGACATTCTACCCCATGCAGTGTGTTAACATCTCTTCCATAAACCAATTTTACATTAATATTTAACCAAATTTTTATGGAATTGGGAAAATCGAGTGACTATTATAGGTTTGTGATTTTTTTTTGTCAAGTTGGCGACCTGTTTAAAACTCTCGTCCAACTCATTAACACGTTTCTTAGAATAACGGAAAAACCGAAATCCAAAAAAATCGAAAATTGGAAAAATTGAAATACACATTAAAAAATTTTAAATCTGGATCGAAACTTCAAAAAATTTTAAAAATCGAAAAACCGAAACAGAGAAATTGAAACGTCAAAACATCGAGAAGTTGAAAAATTTAAAATTACACAATCAAAATTGCCCAAAATCGAAAAATGAAAAAATTCAAATTCACACATAAAAAATTTTAAATTGGAAAATTGAAACATTAGAAATCGAAAAATGGAAAAATCGAAAATGTAAAATCTAAAGAATTGAAAAACTGAAAATTCGAGAAAAGAATCATAAAACTGAAATGTCGAAAAATTGTAAAATCGAAAAGTTGAAAAATTGCAAAACTGACAAATCGAAAATTGGAAAAATTGAAATACACATTGAAAAATTTTAAATCTGGATCGAAACTTCAAAAAATTTTAAAAATCGAAAAACCGAAACAGAGAAATTGAAACGTCAAAACATCGAGAAGTTGAAAAATTTAAAATTACACAACCAAAATTGCCCAAAATCGAAGATGAAAAAATTCAAATTCACACAAAAAATTTTAAATTGGAAAATTGAAACATTAGAAATCGAAAAATGGAAAAATCGAAAATGTAAAATCTAAAGAAATGAAAAACTGAAAATTCGAGAAAAGAATCATAAAACTGAAATGTCGAAAAATTGTAAAATCGAAAAGTTGAAAAATTGCAAAACTGAGAAATCGAAAATTGGAAAAATTGAAATACACATTAAAAAATTTTAAATCTGAATCGAAACTTCAAAAAATTTTAAAAATCGAAAAACCGAAACAGAAATTGAAACGTCAAAACATCGAGAAGTTGAAAAATTTAAAATTACACAATCAAAATTGCCCAAAATCGAAAAATGAAAACATTCAAATGTGAAATATTCACACATAAAAAATTTTAAATTGGAAAATTGAAACATTAGAAATCGAAAAATGGAAAAATCGAAAATGTAAAATCTAAAGAATTGAAAAACTGAAAATTCGAGAAAAGAATCATAAAACTGAAATGTCGAAAAATTGGAAAATCGAAAAGTTGAAAAATTGCAAAACTGAGAAATCGAAAATTGGAAAAATTGAAATACACATTAAAAAATTTTTAAACCTGGATCGAAACTTCAAAAAATTTTAAAGATCGAAAAACCGAAACAGAGAAATTGAAACGTCAAAACATCGAGAAGTTGAAAAATTTAAAATTACACAATCAAAATTGCCCAAAATCGAAAAATGAAAAAAATTCAAATTCACACATAAAAAATTTTAAATTGGAAAATTGAAACATTAGAAATCGAAAAATGGAAAAATCGAAAATGTAAAATCTAAAGAATTGAAAAACTGAAAATTCGAGAAAAGAATCATAAAACTGAAATGTCGAAAAATTGTAAAATCGAAAAGTTGAAAAATCGCAAAACCGAGAAGTCGAAAAATCGAAAAATTGCGAAATCGAAAAACTCAAAATTGCAACATTTAAAATTTACCTGATGGACCTAAAAATCGGAAAACTGAAGAATCGAAAAATTAAAAATCTAAAATTTAAAAAATCCAGAAGTAAAAATTAAAAAAAAAAAACAAAAATCGAAATATTGAAAAATTTGAAAACTTGAGAAACCGAAAAATTGAAAAATCGAGAAATCGGAAACTCGATCAATCGAAAAGACGAAGAATCAAAAAATCGATTAATCGAGTAATTGAGAAATCGAAGAATTGAACTGAAAAATCGAGAAATTTTAAAATTCCAAAACTGAGATGTTGAAAAATTAAAAAATTGAAAAATCGCAAAACCGACAAATCGAAATTAAAAAATGGAAACATCGAGAAATCGAAAAATTCATAACTGAAATATGTAAAACTAAAAAAATCTAAACACAAAAAAATCAAAAAGATCAGAAATCGAGAAACTGAAAAATCTAAAATTTATAAAATCGAAAAATCAAAGCGAAAAACTGAAAGATCTAATAAAAATGGTGATTCGAAAAATTGAAAAATCCGGAAATTTAAAAATACCAAAACTGAAATGTCGCAAAATTGAAAAGTTGAAAAGCCGCAAAACCGAGAAATCGAAATTGCCCAAAATCGAAAAACCGAAAAATTCGAAACTGAAATACATGTACATATAAAAAAAAATCTAATCACAAAAAAAAATCAAAAAGACTAGAAATCAAGAAACTGACAAGTCTAAAATTAAAAAAATGGAAAAATTAAAGAATCGAAAAATTGAAAAATCGCAAACCCAAGAAATCGAACTTGAAAAATTGAAACATCGACAAAAAATTTAATCGGGAAATCGCGACATCCAAAAATCGAAAAACTGCGAAATCGAAATTGTCCAAAATCGAAAAACGGAAAAAACGAAAAATTGAAAAACCGAAAAATGTAAAAGAGAGAAGTCAGAAGAACGAGATATAGAAATATCAAAAAGTTAAAGATCTGAAGTTTAGAAGAAAAATTGAAAAATCGAGAAGTCAAAATATCAAAAATTAAAAAATCGAAAAACTGAAGAATCGAAAAACAAGAAATCAGAATATCAAAAAACCGAAAAATTAAAAATCTAAGATTTGAAAAATGGAAGTTCTGAAAAATCACAAAAGTAAAAAATCAAAAAAACGAAAAATCGGAATATTGAAAAATTTCAGAATTCAAAGACCCCAAAACTGAAACATCGAAAAGACGAAAAACCGATTAATCGAGAAATCGAAATATTGAAGAATTGAAAAATTGGCGAATTGAAAAACTGAAAAATCGAGAAATCGAAATATCCAAAATTCAAAAATCAAAAAATTGAATATTGGAAAATTTTAGAACTTAAAGAGCCCAAAGTTGAAACATCGAAAACTTGAGAAACCGGAAAATTGAGAAATCGAAAAATGAAAAAATCAACGACCAGAAATCGAGAAATCGAAAAATCTAAAATTTAAAGAACCGAAAAATGGAAGAATTGAATAACTGAAAATTCGGGAAAAACATCCCAAAACCGAGAAGTCGAAAAATCGAAAAATTGCAACATTTAAACTTAAAAAAAACTGATAGACCTCATAATCGAAAAACTGAAAAAACGAAAAATCTAAAATTTATAAATTCGAAAATTGAAACATACAAAAATCGAAGAATTGAAAAATCGAAAAATTCAATGAAAAATCCAGAAATTAATACATCGAAAAATTAAAAATCTACAACTTAAAAAATCGAAGTTCTGAAAAGTCACAGAAGTAAAAAAAAAAAAACGAAAAATCGAAATATTGAAAAATTTGAAAACTCGAGATATCGAAAAATTGAAACATCAAGAAATCAGAAACTCGAAGCATTGAACTGAAAACTTGGAGAATCGAAAAACTGAAAAATCGAAAAATTTTAACCCAAAACTGAGAAGTTGAAAAATCGCAAAACCGAAAAATCGAAATTAAAAAAATCTAAACACAAAAAAATCAAAAAGATCTGAAATCGAGAAACTGAAAAATCAGGAAATTGAAAAATCCCAAAACTGAAATGTCGAAAAATCAAAAAATTGATTAATCGAGAAATTGAGAAATCGAAGAATTGAACTGAAAAATTGGAGAATCGAAAAATTGAAAATTCGAGAAATTTAAAAATCCCAAAACTGAAATGTCGCAAAATTGAAAAGTTGAAAAGTCGCAAAACCGAGAAATGAATCTGAAAAATTGAAACATCCAGAAATCGAAACATCTAAACATCGAAAAATGGAAAAACTGCGTAATCGAAATTGCCCAAAATCGAAAAATCGAAAAATTCAAAATTTAAATATGTAAAATTAAAAAATCTAAACCCAGAAAAATTGAACAGACTAGAAATCGGAAAACTGAAAAATTTTTTATAAAATCGAAAAATTAAAGAATCGAAAAATTGAAAAATCGGGAAATTGAAAATTCCCAAAACTGAAGTGTCGAAAAATCGCAAACCCGAGAATCGAACTTGAAAAATTGAAACATGGACAAATCGAAACATTTAAATTAAAAAAATTACAAATCGGGAAATCGCAAAATGTAAAATTTGAAAGATAGAAAAACTAAAATATCAAAAACTAGAAATTGAGAAATTGAAAAATCTACAATTTAAAACATCAAAAAATTGAAACATCGAAAAATTGGAAAATCAAAAAATTGTGAAATCGAATTTGCCCAAAATCGAAAAATTTAAAATTGAAACATATAAACTTAAAAAAAAAGGATAAATCGAAAAAGGGAAAAATCTGAAATTTAAAAATCACGAAAATCGAAAAATATAAAAATCTAAGAACTGAAAAATCGTGAAATCGAAATATTCCTATCTAAAATTAAAAAACCGAAAAATTGAATGAAAAATCGAGAAATCAAAAAATCGAAATATTGAAAAATTTAGATATCCAGAAATCGGAAAGTCGAAAAATCGAGGGACTGAAGAATCAACAATTTGAAAAATCCCCATACTGAAATATCCAAAAAATTGTAAAATTGAAAAATTCAAAATTGAAACAAAAAAAAGGTACACCTCAAAATCGAAAAACTGAAAAAACGAAAAATTGAAAAACCGAAAAATCTAAAAGAGAAGTCGAAAGTTCGAGAAACAAATATCAAAAAGAAAAAAAAAACAAAATTTTAAAATTCGAAAAATTGAATCATACAAAGATCGAAGAACTGAAAAATTGAGAAACCGAAATATTAAAACTTTAAAATCGAAAAACTGAAGAATCAAAAAATTGAATGGAAAATCGAGAAATAAAAAAATCAAAAATCGAAAAATTGAAAATCGAAAATTTCAAAAATGGAACTTTTGAAAAATCACAAAAGTAAAAAATCAAAAAAAAAAACGAAAAATCGAAAAGACGAAAAATAAAAAAATTGATCAATCGAGAAATCGAAATATTTAAAGATCGAAAAATCGAAAAATGTAAACATCGAAAATGTAAAATTTTAAAAAACAGACAAACTAAAAAATCAAAAAAACTAGAAATCTAAAATTTCAAAAATCAAAAAATTGAAGAATCGAAGAATTGAACCGAAAAACTGAATATTCGAAAAATTGGAAAACCAAAAAATCAAAAAATTCAAAATTGAAACGTACAAACTTAAAAATTATCGTAAAATTAAAACATGGAAAAATAAAAAAATTAAACGCTGAAAAGTCAAAAGGACTAGAAATCGAGAAATTGAAACATCTAAAATTCAAAAAATCGAAAAATTGGAGAATCGAAAAACTGAAAAATCGGGTAATTAAAAAATCCCAAAACTGAAATGGCGAAAAATTGAAAATTCGAAAAACTGGAAATCGAGAAATCGAAAAATTCAAAATTGAAACATTAACTTCAAAAAACAAAAAAACAAAAGAACCTAAAAAAACAAAAAACCCTAAAAAAACAAAAAAACTAGAAATCGAGAAATTGAAAAATCTGAAATGGAAAAATAAAAAATTGAAGAATTGGAGAATCGAAAAACTGAATACATATTCGAAAAATTGAAAAATAAAAAAAATCGAGACATCTGAAAATCGAGGAATCAAGAAGTCGAGAAGTCGAAAAATCGAAAAATTGCCAAATCGAAAAATCCAAAATTGAAACATTTATTAAACTTAAAAAAAAATCGAAAAAGTGAAAAATCTAAAAATAGAGAAATTGAAATATGCAAATAATTAAAAAATCGAAAAATTTAATGAAAAATCGATAAACCAAAAATCAAGAAATAGAAAAATTGAAAAAATCGCAATTTTGAATCAAGAAATAGAAAAATTGAAAAAATCGCAATTTTGAAAAATCGAGAAAACGAAAAGTCGAAAAATCGAAAAATTGAGAAATCGTAAAACTGAAATATCCGGAAATTAAGAAATCGAAAAAAAAAGTTTTCAAAGCATTTTAAGAGACGTTTTGATTATTTAACCAAAAAATAAAAATTAAATTCGTTCATTCCCTCCAACATGACAGCGTAGCTGCTGAAACGCGTACTTTCGCAACTAAATACAACACTCACCTATTACTCTGCATCCCTATGTTTATACAAGCCGCCAGAATATCCTCATCTTCAGAATTCTCACTCAAGTCATTATTTAGGTCCAAATTATTCAAAGCTCCTGCTTTATTTTCAACAGAATCATCAGCACCACACGCTTCTTGGTTACTATGCGGAATTTTTGAATCCACCTCATCATCAATTAAACTACTCAGACTCGTGGCTGTGGAAAAATGAAGCGGAGTACTTTCAACTTTAAATTTCTTCACTACATCTTCAAAAACGCTAGACTTTGGCACGTTTTGGGCAGTCTCTGGTATAATCTCTTCAGTTTTCTTTGGGGGAACTGTGGGAAAAATGATCAGGGTTTTTCTGGGTCGGGGGCTTGGAGGGACGGTTTGGGACGGGGAATCGGGTAACTCGCTGGGGGAGATTACGCCACTGGTGACCCGACTGGAAAAATTTCATTTATTAAAAATAAGTTTCAACTCATGAAATATTAAGTTACCTAAAATCGGAAACAACGGAACTTCGATCATCATGTATTGAGTGTTGTTCTATACTATCCAAGGACGCTAATGAGCTAGACCTTGAAAACATTAAAGGTGTTTCCTCTGCGTAGTTCACGACTTCTTCAAACTTCACAGCTTTGGGTTCAGCCGGAAATTTATTCACCCTTCTGAGTTCCTTTTTACTATTGTATTCTTTTAATTCTTGTTTTGGGGGGTCATTTACATGTATTGAGTTTAAAGAGCCACAACTCGGTACTCGAGAAAAATACCCTGGGGTTCCTTCTTCACAATACTTAACTGGCTTTTCTGGCGACATTAAACCTGAACTGAACTCAGACTTGATTTTCCCTCGACGATTATTTGATATTTCTTTAACTGCCACATCTACGGCTTTCAAATCATCCAATTTATCTACAATGGCAGCTTTATCGTCAATCCGTAAATCCGACATTGACGTCGCTGTCGAAAAATTAAACGGCGTTTCATACGGGGTGTCCTCAGTACAATAAGTCTTAATAGTGTCCTGTACAAATTCAGGTGCTTCAGTCTTTGAAATTTTATTGCACCGATCTGAGTCAGAATCGTCTTCTGCGTACCTCAACGAGTAGTCCGTGGGTTGATCTAAATCAGTCTCAGCATACATCGTGAAGCTGTTGTTATAACTTTTCACCACATTGTTGAAAGTGCAACTACGAGTATTATCCTTTTCAGGGTGGATTAGTTTAGTTTCACAGTACTTTTTGCTGAAATCTACTGGTTGTTCAGTCGTTTCTACCTCATCGTCGCACACGTCTCGGATAAATTTGGGTCTTTCAGACAGAACCATGTTAGGAAGACTGATGGTGCTGCGGTTTTTGGGGATTTTTTTATCGGTGGAATTTTCTTTGCGTTCGTTGATACCGAGGCTGGAGAAGGCTCCCGTGATACTCATCATCGTGAAAATCAAACGAGCGAAACACTATTGGAAGGTTTTTGTGCTTTTTTGGGGTTATGGCTGACACATTATTGATTGACAGATTTTGTTTGTTGTTTCCGCAGTCGGTATGGTAGCGATCTGTAAAGTAGGTGTCGGTGGGATTTTTATTAAAGTGTTTTTCACTGCGAATGATAAGAATTATTAGCTTAATTACAACGCAATAACGATTGAAAAAAATTAATAAATAAATAACAAAATCGGCACGGGTCAGCGAACTTGCCTCTCGCGTTGGCAGCCCTGCTGAACCTAGTGTCACTTGTCAACCCAATGTCAGATGACGAAGGTCACGTAAATAATTATAATTTTTTAAACATTGCGATAACCAAAATGAGAACATAACACTTCATGTGTAGAGCGTGTTTGTCACACTATAGTGTCGTCAAATATTGACTTTTGGTATGTCTTTCTGCGATTGAACCCAGATCTTCGTCATTTAACATATGGACGTGTGACAAGTGCCAAACAGCATGTTTTCAGCCATAAAGCGCTTTGCAAGTAAAGGGGATGGCTCCCCGAATAGTTCTACGGTCGTTTCGCGCCCCCCGAGCCACCAAGCCATGTCCTCCTCACTACAAAGAAAATTCGCCAGGGGCGTGCAATATAACAGTAAGTCAAACCCGTTGCGGCTTTTCGCACTTTTCAACCGTTTTTTCAGTGAAAATCGTAATCAAAGGGGACAGAAATGTAGGAAAGACTTGTTTGTTTCATCGCCTGCAAGGGAAGAAATTTATAGAGGAGTACATTCCAACGGAGGAGATTCAAGTCACTTCTATCCAGTGGAACTACAAGGCTACTGATGATGTGGTCAAAGTTGAGGTGTGGGATGTGGTGGATCGTGGGAAGAAGAAAAAGCGGTTTGAGGGTTTGAAGCTAGAGAATTCGCAGATCGAGATGCCGGAAGAGCCAGCGCTGGATGCTGAGTTTTTGGATGTTTATAAAGGGACGAATGGGGTGATTATGATGATGGATTTGACCAAAACGTGGACTTTTGATTATGTTCAGAGAGAGCTGCCGAAGGTCCCTGCCCACATTCCTGTTATTATTTTAGCGAATCATTGTGATATGGCACACCATAGGACTGTCACTACAGATCATGTTACTTTCTACATCGAATCAATTGCAAGGTACTAGATTTTTCATAATTATTTCATTCACTTTTTAAAGTTATAACAAGTAGTCTGAAAAATTTTATTATTTGATACAATTAGTGTGAATAGAACCACAATAAAATTTCGCAACCTTAAACTTTCAGACTGTAAAAATATTAAAAAAATATGTTTTTAAAGGTTTAATTAAATTATATTATTAAAATAAAAATCATCAAGAATGTGCAAAATAGTGTTAGTCTACACATATAGTATTAAGTTTTCATTTTTTTGTTTTAGCTTTCTTTTGGTTGCCTTTTCTGACACTTTTTTTTCGTTTGTTTTTTATTTTTTTGACATGTTTTTGTACCGATTTTTTTACAGCGGTTTTTGTCGTGTTTTTTTTTTTCTATTTCAGTGTTTTCTTGTATTTTTGTTACTTTTTTTAATCCATCGTATTTAACTAGCTTTTTTTATTGCGCTTTTTTTCCATTTTCCCACGTAGCATTTTTTCGGTTTATTTGTCATCTTTTCTCAGGTTTCTATTTTAATCGTTTTTGATTTGTTATTTTTTTTGGACACGATTTTTGTTTTTTAGGTTTTTTTGATCCGTTTTGTTGTCGCTTTTTTTGTTCCATTTTTGTAATCTTTTTTTGGCTTTTTTATCGCATTTTTTACACGTTTTTCATTGTCTTTTGTTTTTTTTGTTAACCTTTTTTTCGTCTTTTTTCCAATTCATGTTAACATTTCTTTGATTTTTCTTTCGGACATCGTTAATTGCGTTTTTGTTTTGTTCCATATTTGATGTGCCCATTTTTAACGCATTTTTTAAACGTTTTTTATTTTTTGACCTGTTTTTATAGCTTTTTTGGTAATTTTTGTCTCCTTTTATTTTGACACCTTTTTTATGTCCCTTTTTTGTCTTGTTTCTTTTCTTTTTTTTGCTTTTTTTATTGTTTTGACACATTTTTTTAATCGTTTTCCGCTCTTTTTTGCGCCTATTTCATATTATGTCTTTTTGCCATTTTTTTGGTTGCTTCTTTATTTCATTCATTTTTTGTCACTTTCTTTTGTCATCTTTTTTTTAACACGTTTCGATTGCTTGTTTTTTGTGTTGTTTTCGTCATTTTTTGTGTGTTTTTTTTAGTATTTTGTTTACTGTATTTTTTTCCATCTTTTTTTGCTGCCTTTTTTTTCTTTTTTTTTTTGTACGTTTCTAGTGCCTTTTTATTGCGGTTTTTCGTCTTTTTTTTGTCGCTCTTTTTTTTTGTTCATTTTTTTTGTCGTTTTTTTCATACTTTTTTTGTTGTTGTTTTACTGCTTTTTTTTAAACATCTTTGTTTATTGCCTTTTCCCCCCTTTTTTTGTCACTCACACATTTTTTGCGAATTTTCTTCTGCCCTTTTTTTGTTATCTATTTTCGTCTTTTTTCCGCTTTTGTTTTGACATATTTTTGCCGTCTTTTCCAGCCCCTTCTTAAGCGTCGCGGTTTTTTCGTTTTTTTTTTTTAATTAATTCGCTTATGTCGCTTTTTTGAGTTTTTTGTCCAATCCTTAGTCACTTTTTAACGAAATTTTTTCAATTTTTGTATACTTTTTTTGTTTATTTTTTTTTCTTGTTTTTTTCACTTTTTTTGTTTTTTTACTGTTTTCCCCGCTCCTTTTTTGTCATGTTTTTCCCCAGTTTTTTGTCACTCTCTTTTGGTTTGTTTCTTTTTTGTCGTCTTTTTTTTGTCGTCGTTTTTTCGTAATTTCTTGTGTTGTTTTTTTATATATATATTTTTTACTGTATCTTTTTTCCCATCTTTTTTGCTGCCTTTTTTTCATTTTGGCAATTCTTTTGTTCCATTTTTGTCATCTATTTAGCCCCTTCTTTATTGTCTTTTGTTACTGTCTTTTTTGACTTTTTTAATTTTTTTGTCGCTTTTTTTAAGACTTTATTTGTTGTTGTTTTGTTGCATTTTTTTTAACACGTGTGTTTATTGCCTTTTTTTCTCTTTTTTTTGTCGCTGACGCACTTTTTTCCATGTTTTCTCCAGCCCTTTTTTTGTTCTCTATTTCGTCTTTTTTCCGCTTTTGTTTTGACATGTTTTTGCCGTGTTTTCCCCCTTCTTCTTAAGCGTCGCGATTTTTTAGTTTTTTTTTTATCAATTCCTTTAAGTCGCTTTTTTGAGTTTTTTTTTGGTCCCATTCTTTGTCACTTTTTTATCGCATTTTTTATTGTCCTTTGGGAATTTTTTGGCAACTTTTAAAATTCCAAATTTTTCAATATGAAAATTTCGGCCAATTTTTGACCACTGTCAAAATTCAAGCAAATACATTTTTTTGTAGTTTTTGAACACTGGAAAATAAATTTGGCCCCAATTCTTTAATAGTCACTACGATTTTTCCAGAATCGCCAATTGAATTTTCGCAATTTTTATGATTAAAAAAAATAGATTTCAAACTGAATATTTCCAAAATTTTGCCCCAGGAGCATATACACGCCATATTTTTGAAATCAAAGTGAGGAAATCTATGTCCCTGAATTTTTTGGAAATTTTTTAGCAACTTTTAAAATTCAAAATTTCTCAATATGAAAATTTCGGCCAATTTTTGACCGTTTCCAAAAATGAATCAAACACATTTTCTTGTGGATTTCGACCTCTAGAGAATAGATTTTATTATTTAAAAAAAATAGATTTCGAGCCGATAATTTCCAAAATTTTGGCCCGAGACCATAAACACACCATATTTTTGGGATCAAAGTGACAAAATCTATGATCCTGCATTTTTTGGGATTTTTTTTGGCAACTTTTAAAATTCAAAACTTTTCAATATAAAAATTTCGGCCAATTTTTGAGCACTTCCAAAATGCGACAACCAAATACATTTTTTTTTTTAGTTTTTGACCTCTAGAAAATAGATTTGGCCCCAATTCTTTAATAATTACTACGATTTTTCCAGAATCGCCAATTACAACATCGCAATTTTTATGATTAAAAAAAAAATAGATTTCGAGCCGATAATTTCTAAAATTTTGCCCCGGATCCATATACACGCTATATTTTTGGAATCAAAGCGAGGAAATCTATGTCCCTGAATTTTTTGTCGTTTCTTTTGTTTTTTTTCCTTCTTTTTTATTCCTTTTTGTGTAGAAACGTTTTTGTGTTGCTTTTTTTTGACACATTTATTGCTTTTCAGTCGCTTTCTTTTTTCATCTGTTTTTGACGCATTTTTCCCGCCGTTTTCAGTGGCATTTTTGTTTTGTTTTTGTCATTTTTGTCCCATTTTCTATACTTTTTTGTTTCTTTTTTGCTTCGTTTTTTTCCATTTTTTTATGACTTCTTTTCTATTGACCATTTTTTGTCCCTTTTATTTTTTTTTTACTGTTTTTCGCGCCTCTGTTTTGTCATGTTTTCTCGAGCTTTTTGTCACTTTATTTTGTCATCTTTTTTGACAAATTTTTATTGCTTTTTTGTTATGTTTTTTCGTCATATAACTTTTTGTTTTTTTTGTGTTTTTTTACTGTATATTTTTTTCTCTTTTGCTGCTTTTTTTGACGTTTTTACTTCCCGAGCGTAAGCAAAGGAAGTATTGTAATCGAGTCCGTCGGCCGACTCTCTACTTTTACGTTTTCTCGATCTTTCATGACCCCTAGAAGACGAAGAAATAGGTCTCCCATTTCCGTCTGTCTGTCCGTCTGTCCGTCCGTCTGTCCGTCTGTCCGTCCGTCTGTCCGTCTGTCCGTCCGTCTGTCCGTCTGTCCGTCTGTCCGTCTGTCCGTCTGTTGTCCCGGATTTTTATTAGACAGATAATCTCCGAAAGTACTCGACCGATTGTTGTGAAATTTTGTACTTATATTAAGAATATCATGTAGATGGTAAAACGCTAACCAAAATTTGTCGAATCATCCCCACCACTAAAGCGATGACGTCACTTCAAAATTGTACATAGTAAATGGGTTTTCAATTGTATAAAATAACATAGTCCTACACATGTAGTTTACAACTCTGAATCGACTTTTCACCCGAAACGTCCAGATTTTTGGAAAAAAAATCAAAATTATAAAACAACATTTTGAAATTTAATTTTTAATCTGCTAACCAGAATGCTTTGAAATGTTGCAGATGTTTTAAGGCTATAAACAGCATAATAAATTTTTAGTCAAAAAATATTTGCTTATCCCCTCCAAAAACTTGATGACGTCAGCTCAAAAGTTTGTGGAATAAATCATATCTAAAATGTACAAAATATGATGAGTCTGTACTTGTGATCTATCACTCCATTCACATTTTTTGGATTTGCATATACAGGGTGACTCAAAAAAATTAATGAATGCGTAAATATATTTTATTGATTTAATCAGGAACTACAAAACCGAATGCTTTGAAATCTTGCAGATGTTTTAAGGTTATAAAGAGCATAATAAATTTTTAGTCAAAATATATTTGGTTATCTTCTACAAAAAACTGATGACGTCAGCTCAAAAGTTTTCCGAATAAATCGTATCTAAAATGTACAAAATATGATGAGTCAGTACTTGTGATTTATCATTCCATTCATATTTTTGGATTTGCATATGCAGGGTGACTCAAAAAAATTAATGAAGGCGTGAATTTATTTTATCGATTTAATCAGGAATTACAAAACCGAATGCTTTGAAATCTTGGGAATATTTTAAAGTTATTATAAGCATGGTAAACTTTTGTTCAAAATGTATTTGTTCATCCCTCCTAAAAAAATTGATGACGTCACCCTTAAATTTTGCTGAATAAATCCTATCTAAAATGCAAAAAATATGATGAGTTTGTACTTGTGATTTATCATTCCATTCATATTTTTTAGATTTTCTTAAGAGGTGGTTCAAAAAAATTAATGAAGTCAATTTATTTTATTGATTAAATTAAAGGCAACACTTATTATTAGTATTACACCCCAACCAACCCAATTTGGTAGACACAAAATTTGTTAAAGGAAAAACTCGGTTGAAACATAAGGGTAGCACGCTTATTTACATCGACTTTAACATTACAGACCTGCATTTGTTTTATGCGTTCACTTGATTCCGCGAATGTGAAATAGACATGTTTATAATCAACCAATTGTGAATTTCACCGTCAAGAATTAAAATAAAACCCAATGTTTTATATAATAAGCGGAAGTCGAAGCAATAAAACCGACGGTCGTTTTGTTTACAGTTTCTGTGTTTGGCTCTCACGTATGCTGTTACGCCTATCATCTTAAATTAACAATGTTTATACATACACGATTTTCAGTTGCCTCTGATACGTAGGTATACGTGAGTAAATTGTTTCGTTATTTTATTGATTATTACAAATCAATATTCAAACGACCCAATTCATTTTCCCGAAAATTTGAGAATATAATAATTTTATTCTTAGTATTACACTACATCTATCCCAACTGATATACGTGTCCTTGCAAAAATGTTGATGACGTCATCGCAATTTTTTTTTAAATTCCCACTACAAAAATGTAATGAGAAAAAAAACACAATAGGCATGCAGTCGTCAAGTTTCCGACAGCGAGGGAAGTACTGTCTAAACTCTTTAGACCAATTTTTTTATAATCTTTTTGATCACATTTTGTCGTCTTTTTTGTCGTTATTTGTTAATTTTTTTGTTCCATTTTTGTCATCTTTTTAGCCTTTTTTCCGGCCTTTTATTTGTTTTTTTGTCGTTTTTTGTTGTCGTTTTACAAAAAAAATTTAAGAAACCCTGTATATTTTCTAATGTATTAAGTTTTTCTTTGCACATGTAGAATTATTGCATAGTGAATAGATTTCCACAAATGTCAAAGAACGATAATTAGACATTATTATACAGGGTGGTGATGAATAATTGTGCAATTATGGTGGATTATTGAAGACATTTTTGACCCAATTTAGTAGAATTCATTGAAGCCTCAATTTAATTTTCAAATGGACAATGTTTCGTGGAAAGATTACACACCAAAGTTGAATTTTTTAAAATGGAACGCTGTATATATATTTTAAGGTTTGAGTTTCTTAATGAAGAAAAAAAAATGAAATTGCATAGAAGAGTTTTTTGAGATAAAATTTTATAAATGAATACAGTTTTTAAAGACGATTTAAATATTTAATCAAAAACTTGGAAAGTTTTTTTTCTGTGGATACCGAGTCTCGAATTCTTCCTGAGATATGTATATTTATTTTTTCCCAAATTTACGAAAAAAATGTATATACACTTTTTGTAGAACAGATTGTTGTGACTCTAGACGCACTCAAAAATTTTTAAAAATATGTATGAAGTCTTTTTCATTTAAAGCTTCAAACTTTTGTATATTGAAAATAGAATCATTCATAAAAATGTGTCCAATAACTACCAAAAACCATTTCAGTTCTCGTTCGGCGCAAGTCCGCTACTCCGAATCTTCAATGCGCAACGGTTTCGGCCTCAAACTCCTCCACAAATTCTTCAACCTCCCTTTCCTCCAGCTCCAGAAAGAAACCCTCTTAAAACAGCTCGAACGTAACGAAATGGAAATCGGCGCCACCATCCAAGAACTGGACATGTTCTGCGACTCCGACGAGGCCAACTACGGCAAGTTCCTCGAGAACCTGGTGCGAAAAAGGCGCGAAATCGCCGACTCCAACGCCAACATCCCGCCCCCGGCCCAGCAAATGCGCACTTCCGCATCTAGTCAGCAGGTGTCTTCTGCAAACCCAGTGCAATGCGACGTGAAGCGCTCCCAGAGCGGACCGATCGTCATCGGGGCCGGCAAACCCATCCCCTACGGTAACCCCAGCGTGAAGAAACTGCCGCCGACGCAGGTGTCGAAGAGCTCGAGTCAGAGCTCCGGGTTCATCAGCAAAGTGGGGGTGGACCAGGTGGTGGAGGGCGGCGTGCCGGATTTGAGGCGGCTGGAGATCAGCCCGATTACTTCGGTGGAGGAGTTTTGTCCGGACGGGGGGCAAATCGATAGGAGTTTTCTGGATGATGTGCAATATAGCGTCCAGAATAACGCCAAGGTGGAGGAGAATGAGTCTGACTCGTGAGGGTGTGTGGGGTTGGAGGAGGCGAAGTTGTGATGGTGTTTTTTCAGGGATACGGATACTGGGAATCCTTTGGTTTCTGAGCTCCAGGAGGACTTTGAGCCGGAGGAGTTGGGGTCGTCGTCGAAGAAGGTTAGTTATAAGGTTGAGTTTAAAGCGCCTGCGCCGATGCGGATTGGGAGGTCGGACGAAAGTAGCGAGATTGAGGGAGACAAGACTGCCCCTGAGGACTACGATATGAAGCAAACCAACGACGAATTTGATTCCACGATTAATTCGGAGATTTCGGAGCTTACGTCAGACGCGTATGATGGCTGGATTGGGGCTGATACGAAGTGGAGGAGGTCACCAGAAGGTAAATCTTCACTATATTATTTAATTGAAGAAAGTGGTAAAAACCTTTATTTGCGTAGAACTCAACAAAATATTGACGTATAAAACGTATATGTCAAAAAAGTGAGGTTATATCGAAGTGACTGATTACAAGCGTCCTTATGACTCTCTAGTTTTTGTGATAATCGTTAAAAAATTCATAAATAAACCAGAGTCTAAGGGAAATCGGTTCGTCCGCTTTAAATAATGTGGATTTATGGATTTTAGAGTTTATCTAATTTCCCAAACTAAAAATACTCCGATCGAAAAAAAAAGTCACCTAGTAGGCTATGAAATTTATTTTGACAGTTATTTGACCGCAAATTCCCCAAGGTGGTGATTAGTACTAATTTAAGGACTTTGTGAACTGGAACTGCCAGACTGTATAAGGAATGCCTTGGAATTTTTTTAACACTAGTCAGGTTTAGAAAGAATTTAACATGATGATTGAAAAATAAAATTTAAAAACCGGAGAAAAATGCAAAATTTGGCCTTGAACTGTGATCGCCAACAAAATGGAACCCTACGTTGGTGTGTGTTTTTTTTCTGTTTGACGTAATGCGTCTAAATGCAAATTGGTGAACCTCAGGGTTCCAAAATCCCTTAAATCAAAATAAAAAATATGGAGAGCAATTCTGGATATGAAAAATCTGGAAACCAGCTTTCAAAAATGAAGTCAAATGTTATAAATTGACACAAATATTTGAATATCACGAATTTAAAACAAAGTTCAGTGGAAACAAACTACATAGCATGAGGACGCGTATAGACAGCGGCGCGAAGGGCGTCTCCTCGTCCTAAGCATAGCCAGAATACGCATATGGGTTTTGAACACTGCCTTTCTTGTTTTTTGCTCTTTTTTTTCTTTTGCCTTTTTTGTAATTTTTGTCTCCTCAATCCCCCCTCCCCATATTGTATTTATGACGTTCTTTTTTGTCATTTTTTTTATTATTTGAGCGCTTTTTATTTCGCCTTTTTTTGTTTCCCTTTTTCTTTTAGTGCCTTTTCTAAGTCCCCTTTTTGTATTTTTTGTAATCTTTTTGCCCATATTTTTGGTAGCATTTTTTGTCTCTATCTTGTCATCATTTCTTTGTCTATTCTTTATCGCCTTTTCTTTGTCGCCTTTTTTACACTTTTTTTGTTGTGCCTTTTTCTGTTTTGTTGTCGCTTTTTGCCTTCTTGTTTGTTCCAGTTTTTTTTATTTTTCTCGTTTTTTTCCGCTTTTTTGTCGTTTTTCCGCTTTTTTTTTCGTCGTTTTTTTCCGCTATTTTTTGTCTTCTTTTTAAATCAACCTTCATAATTTTTTTGGCTTTTTTGGTCACTTTCTTGTATTTTTGTCACATTTTTGTGCCCCTTTTTTATCGCATTTTTACCCGTTTTTTAATTACATTTTTAACCGCCCATTATTGTGTTTTTTTTTTAACATTTGTTTGGTGGCTTTTTTCACTTTTTTGTCGTTTTTTCCGCCTCTTTGACAACTTATCTTGTAGCATTTTTGTCGTCTTTTTTACTCTTTTTGACGCATTTTTGACTTTTTTTGTCGCGTTTTCTGTAATATTTTTTAAACCCTTTTTTATCGTCATTTTTTAACAGGTTTTTTTTCTCCACTGCTTTTTTACCTCTTTTGTTTTTGTTTTCTTTTTGATATTGTTGTGTTTTTGTCGCTTTCTTTTGTCATCTTTTTCGCTTCTTTGTCACCCTTTTTGCCATTATTTTGTGTTTTTCTTTTTTGGACTCCTTTTTGGTTGTTTTGTTTTTGTTCCTTTTTTTTTTCATATTTTTCGTGTTTTTTCTTAACAGCTTTCTGTCGCTTTCTTTTTTTTGTCGGTCCTTTTTTTTTGTGTTTTTTGCTACCATTTTATGCTCCTCTTTTTTATCGCCTTTTTTACAAGGTTTTTAATTGCCTTTTTGTCCCTCTTTTTCTTTGAAGAATTTTTTTTGTCTCGTTTTCTTTTTTACTCCCTTTTTAATGTCTTTTTTTAGCACGATTTTTATTGGTCTTTTTTTGTCACATCTTTTTTTTGCATTGTTTTTTCCTTCATTTTTTGAAGCTGTCTTTTGTCTTCGCTTTTTCGTTTTTTTCCCTCATCTTTCCTTTGTTCCCTTTTTTTTTACACTTTTTTGCTGTAATTTTTTCTATTCTTTTTTTGTCAGTTTTTTGCATTCTTGTTTATTTTAGTTTTCGTATTTTTATCGTTTTTGACATATTTTTTGTCGTTTTTTTTTTGTCGCTCTTTTATTCCCCCTCTTTTTTGTTGCATTTTTGTCGCCATTTTTACTGTTTTTTTTTTATGGTCGCTTGTCCGCCACGTTTTTATTTCTCTTTTTTTTCACCGTATTTAGCGAATTTTTGGGTCCTGTTTCAAGTCTTTTTCTGTGTCTTTTGTATTTCGCCTTTTTTATCTATTTTTTGAGGCATTTTTGACATTTTTTTTGTCGCGTTTTTTGTAATATTTTTTTAACCTCTCTTATCGTCATTTTTTAACACGGATTTTTATTGCTTTTTGCTTTCTTTGAATTTTTTGACATTATTGAATTTTTTTTTGTCGCTGTCTTTTGTCATCGCTTTTTTGTCAATTTTTTTCACCTTTTCTTTGTTAGCTTTTTTTACACTTTTTTGCTGTAATTGTTTTCTGTTCTTTTTTGGTTTTTTGTTTGTTTCAGTTTTCGTAATTTTTTTCGTTTTTTTTTACATTTCTGTCGGTTTTCCGCATCTTTTTTTGTCTCATTTTTTTTTCATCATTTTTGGCCCGCCACATTTTTTTATTTTGAATTGTATTTTTTACCCGCTCATTACTTTGTTTTTTGTGTGACTTTTTTTGTGGCTTTTTTTTTGATATATTTTTTTTGTCTCTTTTTTTGTCAATTTTTTGGCCGTTTTTACTGTTTTTATTTTGACGACTTTTTGGGTCTTGTTTTAAGTCGCTTTTTAGTGGCTTTTTATTTTCACTTTTTTGTTAACACCTTTTCTTTGTCACCTTTTTTTGACACTTTTTGCCACGATTTTTTTTTGATCGTTTTTTTGCTTTTTTCCATTTTTTTTGTTATATTGTACTAGTTTTTTTCGTGTTTTTCTTATGGTTTTTGTCGTTTTTTTTCTCTTTTTTTTTCTTGTGGTTTTACTACCTTTTGTGTGGTGCTCCTTTTTCTTTGGACGATTTTTTTGTGGCGTTTTCTTTTTTATTCACTTTTTTAATGCCTTTTTAGCAAGATTTTTATTACCCTTTTTTGTCACATCTTTTTTAAACCCCTTTTTTGTCTTTTTTGTATTTTTTTTCCTTCATTTTTGGTAGCAGTTTTTGTCGCTGTTTTATTGCGCCTCTTTTTTGTTGCATTTTTGTCGCCATTTTTACTGTTTTTTTAATGGTCGCTTCTCTGCCACGTTTTTATTTTTCTTTTTTTTTTTCACCGTATTTGGCTAATTTTTGGGTCCTGTTTCAAGTCTTTTTTTGTCCCTTTTGTATTTCGCCTTTTTTATCGATTTTTTGAGACATTTTTGACATTTTTCTGTCGCGTTTTTTTAATATTTTTTAACCCCTCTTTTATCGTCATTTTTTAAAACGGATTTTTATTGCTTTTTGCTTTCTTTGTATTTTTTGACTTCACTGAATTTTTTTTGTCGCTTTCTTTTGTCATTCTTTCTTGCCTCTTTTTTTATTATCTTTTCTTTGTCAGCTTTTTTGACATTTTTTGCCACGATTTTTTCTGTCTATTTTAATCGCTTTTTGTATTTTTCTTTTTTTGACCTCCTTTTTTTGTTCTAGTTGTTTTTATATTTTTTGTGTTTTTTCTTACACAGCTTTTTGTCGCTTTCTTCTTGTTCTTTTTGGCCCCCGGCCTTCTCCTTCAGCGTTTTTTCGTTGTTTTTTGTCGGTCCTTTTTTTGTATTTTTTGCTACCATTTTGTGTTTCTCTTCTTTAATCACATTTTTTTTACTAGGTTTTTAATTGCCTTTTTTTGTCTCCCCTTTTCTGTGACATTTTTTTTGCTGCGTTTTCTTTTTTACCCTTTTTTTAATGTCTTTTTTTTAGTCCCTTTTTTGTATTTTTTTAGCCTTCATTTTTGGTAGCATTTTTTGTCGCTGTCTTTTGTCATCGCTTTTTTGTTAATTTTTTTCACCTTTTATTTGTTGGCTTTTTTTGCACTTTTTTGCTGTAATTGTTTTCTGTTCTTTTTTTTGGTTTTTTATTTGTTTCAGTTTTTCGTATTTTTATCGTTTTTTTTTTTACATTTTTGTCGGTTTTCCGCCTTTTTTTGTCCCTTTCTTTTATCATCATTTTTGCCCCCTCCCCCATTTTTTTTTGTTGTTTTTTTTTTGGTGGAATTCTTCCTCATTTTTTTGTGCCTCTTTTTTACGCGTTTTTAATTGTATTTTTTACACACTCATTAATTTGTTTTTTTTTTGTGACATTTTTTGTGGCTTTTTTTGACATTTTTTTTGTGTCTTTTTTTGTCAATTCTTGGTCGTTTTTACTCTCTTTTTATTTTGACGAATTTTTGGGTCCTGTTTTAAGTCGCTTTTTTGTGGATTTTTATTTTCACTTATTTGTTTTCACCTTTTTTGACACTTTTTGCCACGATTTTTTCTGTCTATTTTATCGCTTTTTGTATTTTTCTTTTTTTTGGACTCCTTTTTTTTGTTTTATTTTTTGTGTTTTTTCTTACATAGCTTTTTGCCGCTTTCTTCTTGTTCTTTTTGGCCCCCGGCCTTCTCCTTTAGCGTTTTTTCGTTGCTTTTTGTCGGTCCTTTTTTTGTATTTTTTGCTACCATTTTGTGCTTCTCTTTTTTAATCACTTTTTTTTACAAGGTTTTTAATTGCCTTTTTTGTCTCCCTTTTTCTTCGACAATTTTTTTGCCGCGTTTTCTTTTCTACCCTTTTTTAATGTCTTTTTTAAGCCCCTTTTTTGTATTTTTTTAGCCTTCATTTTTGTTCGCATTTTTTGTCGCTGCCTTTTTGTCATCGCTTTTTTCTCGATTTTTTTTTCTCACTTTTTTTGGTTTTTTGTTTGTTTCAGTTTTTCGTATTTTTATCGTTTTGTTTTTACACATTTTTGTCGTTTTCCGCCTCTTTTTTTGTCCCTTTCTTTTGTCATCATTTTTGTCCCCCCCCCCTATTTTTTTTGTTTTTTTTTTTTTTTTTGGTGGAATTTTTCCTCATCTTTTTTATGCCTCCTTTTTACATGTTTTCAATTGTATTTTTTACCCATTATTTTGTTTTTTTTTGTGATATTTTTTGTGGCTTTTTTGACATTTTTTGCCGTTTTTACTCTCTTTATTTGACGAATTTTTGGGCCCTGTTTTAAGTTGCGTTTTTGTGGCTTTTTTATTTTCGCTTTTTTGTCCTTTTTGTATTTCGCCATTTGTGTCGTATTTTTGACGCGTTTTTGTCAATCTTTTTGTCGCGTTTTCTATGATATTTTTTAACCCCTTTTTTATCGCAGTTTTTTTTTTAACACGGATTTTTTTTCTTCTTTTGTCACTGTTTTTTACGTCTTTTGTTTTCGCTTTCTTTGTATTTTTTTTTTGAATTGTTGTATTTTTGTCGCTTTCTTTTGTGATCTTTTTGCCTCTTTTTATCACCTTTTTTTTGTCACCTAAAAACACTTTTGCCACGATTTTTTTCTTCTTTTTCTTTGACCGTTTTTTGCATTTTTTTGGCCTCTTTTTTATTATATTGTTTTTGTTCGAGTTTTTTTTTTCGTGCTTTTCTTAGTTTTTGTCGCTTTTTTCTCTCTTTTTTTTTGGGGGTCTTTTTCTTGTATTTTTTGCTACTTTTTTGTACTCCTCTTTTTTTATCACCTTTAATTACAAGGTTTTTAATTGTCTTTTTTTGTTTACCTTTTTCTTTGACGATTTTTTTGTGGCGTTTTCTTTTTTACTCCATTTTTAGCCTTTTTAGCACGATTTTTATCGGTCTTTTTTGTCACATCTTTTTTAAGCCCCTTTTTTGTCTTTTTTGAATTTTTTTTCCCTTCATTTTTGGTAGCAGTTTTTGTCGCTTTTTTTTTGTCATTTTTGCTCACCCTATTTTTTTTGCCGGCTCAGTATTGCCTTCGCCATTTTTATCTCTTTTTTTGACAATTGTTTTCCTTCTTTTTTATCGCCATTTTTTAACACGGATTTTTATTGCTTTTTGTCAGTGTTTTTTTACGTCTTTTGTTTTTGCTCTTTGTATTTTTTTGACATTTTTTATTGTATTTTTTTGTCGCTTTCTTTTGCCATCTTTTTTGCCTCCTTTTTCATCACATTTTCTTCGTCGTCGTTTCTGACGCTTTTTGCCACGATTTTTTCCGTCTTTTTATGATCACTTTTTTGCATTTTTGTCTTTTTTTTGTTGCATTGTTTTTGTTCCAGTTTTTTCGTATTTCTGTGTCTTTTTTTTGTATAGTCGATATATAATTATAATCACAAAAAAAAAAGAAAAATAAGCAATATAAAATTATGCCACACAACAAAAAATTTACATGAGATTAAATTATGCCTTATCTCAACCCAATCAAGATTATATCAAAGACCCAGATGCAATAAACACCATGATAGTAATTTAACAGATGGTAATTTCCAAGGTCTTGTTATCAATTTCGAAAGAGAAGGTACTTTTAAATATATCGTTAATTTAAAATAAGTTGAGCCTGAATAAGTGAATGTTCGCCACTTGTTTTATAGGAACATTTTCCATGATTGTTTCAAAAAGTACATAAGAAATATAATAAAGACAAAAATTACACTTGTTTATGAAGTAGTCAAAGTTTTACACATTTTAGTTTAGAAAATCATTAATAAATTGAAATTTCACTAGTTACACTCGTTGGATGCGATTCATTTTCAATATCAAACTAGATTGGACATATCCTAAATTTTAACACAGTTTAAACGTAAAATATGGAATAAATTTTACTATATTATATATTATTATTTAAAAAATTATCAAAGGGGGCGAAGACGTCTCCGTCGTGAGTCAAACCTTGGACTACAGCAACAGCACCGCGTACGACGACAGCACGAGCGTGACGTCATCCAACGTCCACATGGAGCTCCTCAGCTCCAAGCACAGCCCCCTGTCTCCCAACGGCAGCGTGCACAGCGACAGCGAGGAGAACCACACATCCAGTTCAGTGAAAAAAGAGAAAAAGAAAAAAGACAAAGATAAGGTAACAACCCCACCCCCGTTTCTTTCCTATAACCATCTACAATCCACAGGCTGATAAAAAACACAAGAGCAAAAAATCAAAAGACAAGGCTCGAGAAAAAGAAAAACACAAGGACTCGAATAAGGGCGAACGAAGAAACAAGCGAAGATCCAGGGACGAAACTTCGTCCCGCAAAGACGAACTCGAAGAGTTTTTGAACGGAAGTGCGAGTCCACCTATCGATGCAGCGTACGAGGCCATCTAGCGGACGTCGGTGACGTAACTATCTTGTTGCTAACAGCGCCTGCGCCTTCCACTTTTATATGCTTCATACAGTTTACAAATGTTATTTTGAAATAAATTTGTTTCATGTGATATGAATTCAGAATTGTTGTTATGATGTGCTAGTAGCTTTGCAATGTGGTCAAACAATTAACCAACTTATAACTGAAGAATATGACAAAATATTAACTTTTCATGTCAATTTAGGGTAAAACAATAAATATGTAGCTGCCAAGTCAATAAGTATTTTCTGGTTACTTCAAAGTGTTACTTGCAAACAGGATGTGTGCCTAACTTTTTTTTCGGACGTATTTTTCTACACCACGTGGAGTTCGACTGTGCATTTTTTCAACCTCTACTGTTGTTACATTTATTGTTTAATAATCCGCTATTAAAATTTTAAAGATTTATATTGTCTGCATATTTGTTTTGTTTTTAATGTGACTATTGTTAATATATTCGATTTTAAATATGAGCGCAGTGTTTTTTATGAAATAAATAAATAACTTCAAAAGTTTGTTGGGTTTGTGAAGACTCCCACGCCCCCGAAGTGCTACGCCACTGGTGTTGAATCCATGTGGGGATTAAGACATTTGTAGACATTCCAAAAATTGTCACACGTGTCGGGTTGACGCACGTGACTAAAGCTCGCTTCGCGATTGGTGTGAAAGTTCCGTTATTTACGCAGTGTCTACGACCTCATAAATAAGCGCGCCATTCGAGACGCGACAGCGTCCTCTGCCACGTTATAGCAACGACCACACGATGGCGCTACCATCGTCTAACAAGTTTATTCTTGTCAAATATGAAGAATGCGAATGCACCTCATTTCAGTCTGAGTCGGCGTGCAGTCGAGATGCATTTTCGTGCAAGCCCCCCTTTAGAAACCCCGCTATGAACCACGTCGATCCGTAAGTTAATTGTTAACCAAAAAAAAGACGTACAGCAATCACAAACTTAAGAACACAAACGCATGCGCATCAGTTGCCAAAGACAAAGGTTTGCTGTGTGTACAACCGAACAGTCAGCTGTAAGTTTAGGAATGGCATAGTTTGGTTTTGGGTGTGTTTTTGTGGTGTTGTGGGGTTATTTTGTACAAGACAATGTTTAGTGAATGTGTTTACTTGTTCCCTTTACTTTGCTTACTTCCTCCCATCCGAAGTGGTAAGTTTTAGAAATAAGGGTTGAAACGAGGCACTTTCGCCCTCCGGGGGCGAAGCGGCCGTTAATACGCTCCGTTTTCGTGTTTTCCGCCATGTGCGGAGCGCTAGGGCAAAGGGGGGCAATTTAGACCCATCGGAAGTGTCAAAAGTTACGCCTACTCGATGTTTGTTGTTATTTGCAGTTGATGTTCTATGACGAGAAATCTTCACCGTTGGCTACTTTTTGTTAAATTAATCAACGATTCGTTACGCTTTCCGGGAACAACGCTCGATTTTGTAACAGAAATGACTTAGCAATGAGTCAAAACAGCGAGGAAAATGTCGTAATTTCCAGCATAAAAACGAATCGATAATTGTGAAGAAATGCAAGAATTGCCGTTTTACATAATTTTTACGTTTTTGTGTAACTGCGGTTTGGGTTGTGAAGCTGCAACTTGTCTTCCTACAGGTTTTTTCTTGCCCGCAAGTTTGAAATGCATGACGCTGGATATTGAGAAATGGATTAAATGGAATCATGGTTTAAATAAGTTGCGGTTTTTCCTTTTAACATCTTGGGTAAAAATAATAAACGAAATAAGACGTCGTAACCACTGCGAACTCGTATGGAATGCCCGGGAAATATGGAACAGCGTCCAGAAAAAATTGGCTGTAAAAATGAAAAAATATAGTAGAATATAGACTACTATATTTATGGAATAAATTTGAAACTTTGTAATTGAATCCGACAAGGTTATAACGTCATCGATGATTTTATTTAATGTCAAATCGTCATTTCAGTGGATTTTGCTAATCATTGGTAAAAAATGAAATCATATATGTTAAAGGATTCTTTCTTTCACATGAACACAGGCCCTGCAAGTTTTCATTAAAACATTATCAGTTATTAGTCTAAATATTTATTATTGAACAACAAACTAATCAGTTTATTTTGTACAGGGGAATTAAAAAATGGCCACAACTTGTTATGTATGGTGTGCACTCGAAAAATGTTTTTTTAAGCTTGGTATTAGTTCAAAGATAAATTTTGCGGTTTCTAAGATTAAAGATTAGCGCCACAGATAACACTGAGTCCCCGCTGTTAAGGATTGTAAAGAAAATATTTGCTAATTATATTATCGTAACTTTTCACAACAGAAATTATTTAGGAAATGTATTCTTGTTGCGATTTTTTGTACTTTGCCCCGATTGCGAATTTCCTTTCCGGTAAAACTGGATTCCTGATGACGTCATAGAACAGCTGACCGATTCTGGATGTGTGACGTGAATTTGTTAAAAAATCGTCATTTACGATGTTCACTATTCAAGGAAAAACTGTAAATTACACCAAATACCTCATTAATTGTTCTTCAGGCTTGGAGAAAGTTCAGTGTACATACCATTGCAGACTGTTTTTACTGAATAACGTTTTGGAATGACGTCATAAACGTTAATTTCGTACAATTTAAGGTTATTTAGTTGTTATCTTGCTGGAAAATTAAGAAAAATTGTTGAACTGCTACTGAGAAAACAGATACCAGAAATGGGTATATAATTAATTTTTATAATTAAACAATTAAGAACACTAATTAACTTTGGAAAATCCCTGTGATAAATTGGCCATCAACTATTTTTTACAAATTCTCATTAGCTTCTTAAGCTTTACGTATAAGTACAGTTTATTTTTGAACTTAAGATGCGACGTTGCCACGTTATTCTAATTTCGTTGAATTTTTATTATGGTACATTTTAATCTATACAGTGTTTCTAAAAAAAATCTGAAGTATTCGAGTTTTCAAATATCGAAACATATTTCAGTTTTTGAAATAGAATACCCTATATTTGTTGTTCACTTTTTTTAAGTGAAAGAAAGAGAACAAACAATACAATAAAATGCAGTAATTAAATACAGCGTGTTTTATTTGAAAAACTGGTACATTGATATTTGAATCCGATAAGAATTATTTTTTCCATAAACACCCTGTATATTAAGACTCAATTAATTTATACCACAACAAAGTGCAAGCCATTTTAGATATTGCAACAGATTTTAAAAGTAACTCTTCAATTTCTAAAAAAAAATCAATAGAATTTTAATAACGTGGCAACGTGGCATCGGAATTTCAAAAAATAACTATAGTTATGTGTATGTCAAAATATACCGGGTGTCTGAAAAAACTAAAAAAATTCTTAATCATGTAGATTACGAAATAATGGAAATCCACCTTTTTTCAAGGACAATAACTATAACATCTAGTAGTCATTTAATCGTGCATTAGTATTAATAAAACAAGCTATTATTTTTCATTAATAAATAAACCAAAAAAAAACATTTAATAAGATATTTATAAATTATAAACAAAAACAAAACCAACAAAAGAAAAATCCATTAAAGCATTACCCACTAAACACTAGAAAAAGTTCCTGCCTTGTGTATATAAGTAAACTCGTAATGTTTCCAAATTTTCATCATTTTTCGTAAAAGTTAATCATCAATAGTTGCTAAGATAAAACTGATTTTGGCAAATGAGATACTCTGTAAGAAAAGAGAGGGTGGGTGGGCGGGGCTAGTACTTGCTATGATAAGAGTGATTTTGGCAGATGACAGACTTTCTAAGAAAAGAGAGGGTGGGTGGGCGGGGCTAGTACTTGCTAAGATAAGAGTGATTTTGGCAGATGACATACTTTCTAAAAAAAGAGAGGGTGGGTGGGCGGGGTTAGTACTTGCTAAGATAAGAGTGATTTTGGCAGATGACATACTTTCTAAAAAAAGAGAGGGTGGGTGGGCGGGGCTAGTACCTACTTGCTAAGGTAAGAGTGGTTTTGGCGAATGATGTATCCTCTAAGAAATTGAATTGAATTATTATAAGAAAAGACACTAGAGACTCCAAAGCACTTTCAAATTCTTTCCACACAGGAATACCTAGAACCTCAAGATTGTTTTAATTTCTTAAAAAAAAAACGGGGTTGTTTGACGTATCAAAAAGTTTTCAAAACCCTACGTTTAAAATGTTCGCAGTTAATTTTAGGTCCCCTGGTGTTGTATTTTCGGATAAATTTAAAAGAATCTGGTGTTTTGTTGCTGGATGAACTTGAAAAGATCTTTTCAGCTTTTAGTGTTTTTGTTTTTTACTTCCCGAGCGTAAGCAAAGGAAGTATTGTAATCGAGTCCGTCGGCCGACTCTCTACTTTTACGTTTTCTCGATCTTTCATGACCCCTAGAAGACGAAGAAATATAGTCCTACATATGTAGTTTACGACTCCGAATTGAGTTTTTACCCGAAACGTCCAGATTTTTGAAAAAAAAAATCAAAATTATAAAACAACATTTTGCAATTTAATTTTGAATCTGCTAACCCGAAGGCTTTGAAATGTTGCAGATGTTTTAAGGCTATAAAGAGCATCATAAATCTTTAAAATATACAAAATATGATGAGTCTGTACTTGTGGTCTATCACTCCATTCATATTTTTTGAATTTGCATATACAGGGTGACTCAAAAAAATTAATGAATATGCAAATTTATTTTACTGATTTACTCAGGAACTACAAAACCGAATGCTTCGAAATCTTGAAGATGTTTTAAAATTATAACAAGCATGGTAAACTTTTGATCAAAATGCATTTCGTCGTCCCCCCTAAAAAATTCATGACGTCACCACAGAATTTTGCTTAATAAATCCTATCTAAACTGTGCAAAATATGATGAGTCTGTACTTGTGATTTATCACTCCATTCATATTTTTTGGATTTGCATATACAGGGTGACTCAAAAAAATTAATGAATGCCTAAATATATTTTATTGATTTAATCAGGAACTACAAAACGGAATGCTCTGACATCTTGCAGATGTTTTAAGGTTATAAAGAGCATAATAAATGTTTAGTCAAAATATATTTGCTTATCCCCTCCAAAAACTTGATGACGTCAGCTCGAAAATTTGCCGAATAAATCATATCTAAAATGTACAAAATATGATCAGTCTGTACTTGTGATCTACCACTCCATTCATATTTTTTGGATTTGCATATACAGGGTGACTCAAAAAAATTAATGAATGCGTAAATTTATTTTTCCGATTTACTCAGGAACTACAAAACCGAATGCTTTGAAATCTTGAAGATGTTTTAAAGTTATCATAAGCATGGTAAGTTTTTGATCAAAATGTATTTGCTCATCCCGCTAAAAAATTTATGACGTCACCACAAAATTTTGATGAATAAATCCGGTCTAAAATGTACAAAATATCATGAGTCTCTTCTTGTTATTTATTATCCCATTCATATTTTTTGGATTTGCATATACAGGGTGACCCAAAAAAATTAATGAATGCGTAAATGTATTTTATTGATTTAATCAGGAACTCCAGAACCGCATGTTTTGAAATCTTGCAGATGTTTTAAGGTTATAAAGAGCATAATAAATTTTTAGTCAAAATATATTTGGTTATCTTCTCCAAAAAACTGATGACGTCAGCTCAAAAGTTTGCCGAATAAATCCTATCTAGAATGTACAAAATATGATGAGTCTGTACTTGTAATTTATCATTCCATTCATATTATATGAATTTGCAGATACCGGGCGACTCAAAAAAAATAATGAATGCGTAAATTTATTTTATTGATTTACTCAGGAACTGTAAAACCGAATGCTACTGCGAAAAAAAAACCTAATGGGCATGCAGTCGTCACGTTTCCGAAAGCGAGGGAAGTACTGTCTAAACTCTTTAGACCAATTTTTATGAATTTGAAAAAGTCTGAGTGCCGCGGTGTTTTTTTTTTTAATTCGATAGACTTGTGTACCCATGGTGTGTTATTTTGCAAGCCCCTGGAGATTTTCTTTGTAAATTATTTGAAACAATTTTGGTGTTCTATTTTTGGAAAATTCTGACCTGGGCTGTTTTTGAGTTAATTTTGGAACCTCGTTTTTTTCCAAAAATTTATATTCGAAAGTGAGCCTGTAGTGCCTTATGATAAATTAATTAAATTTCTTAAAGTATACGTCATTTGCTAAAATCAGTCTTA